TACTACCTTACCACAGGCGGCTGGATGATAAATACTACACATTAGATAACTATTTTAATCACTAGTGTTGCTGCTGTGTGTCTTCCAGCCACCAGCAGTAGCAGCACAGAGCTAACACTAGCCACTATCTTTGATTTTACATGGTTGTATTGACTTTAACAGAGGAGACCTTTCTGTTGGAATTCAACAAAGAAATCATATGTGATTGTTACTTTACACGTGCCTGACTTTGTTTCAGAAAAAGAAAAGAGTCTTAAGAGTTAAAAGAGTCTTTCAAAACTAGTAGAGAAACATCAGCATCAGTTGTCAAGAAACTCAAATTATGGGATAATTGCTGCAGATTTGATTTGATTTGATGAATCTCACAAATCCAAATTCTACATGCAGTTTACAAATTCAATTCACATTTATTTTCAGAAATTCACCGGGAACTTCAGGTCTTTCTCTTATAGGAAGTTATGTTTACGAAGTTGATCCATAAAACCACAGAATAAGTGCAGATTTTTTGCTCAAGTTGAAATCTTTTTATATCAGGATCACACATATTTGCCTTCTTATGTGTGGCCGTGGGCAAACATTGATTTTTATATGTAATCACCTTGTCCATAAAATTAGCTTTGCTTCAGTTGGTTTCATGCTTGAAACTGGACAGAGGCGGCTGAAGCTGAAGCTGTATGTGTCTGTGACTGTCGCTCCAGCTGTGGGACGGCAGTGAAAGAATGAAGTCGCTGCAGGATGATGATAGAAAAGAAGGCTGGGGGCAAAGACAGAGCTGAACCGCAGAGATGATGAAGGAAACAGTCGTCTCTCTTTGTAGTGGACATCAAAAACTCTGAACAATGAGACTGAACATTAATACATGCTGCTGCAGTTTAATCTGTCAGAGGGAGAATGAATGAAAGTGAAAACTGTGCGTGGTAAAAGATGAAGCTGCGTGTAGGCTGATGAAGCTGTGAATTGGAAGAGACCTCTTTTTGCACCAATGAAGTCCATTTCTTCTGGAAGCTGAAATGAATAAACATCTGTGACAGGCGAGCGCGCAGCAAACTGCCCTGCTCTTGCTGGAACATCATCTCCGAGCTTTAATCTGCATCTCCACGGGGACGTTCACCAATACAACGAGCCCATGCCAGGCACCAGATGAAACCCGCCTTCACAATCACAACATTAAACCGGGAAAAACAGACTCGTATCTATCAAGCAGCCATTAAAGGGGCTCTGTGATTCTGTTTTTCTTTATTTTGGTGTGTCAGGAGTTTTTGACATCAATGGCTGACTTTAAAATGATCAAACCAAACTTTGAACTAAACCGCAGTGTGATGAAACATGGCTGATGATGACTTTGACAGCTGGTGTATTTTTAAAAATCTCTGTGCATCGGCTCATCACGAAACTGTTTCTGCTTCAGCTCTGAACAGCAGAGATACTCAGTCAGTAATGTTAGGAAGCTATCGGTCAGATAAGCTGAGGTATATTCACGGACACCAGTCTAAAGTGGAGCGCTGTCTTAATTACAGCAGTTTTTTAAGTTTGAAATGTTTTTTCTATTTATCCACAGCTCTTTGGACAAAGTACATTCTCATTATCTCATTCTGCGTCCTCCGACCTCATCTCATCTGCCCCCCTTTTATCTCATCTCATTTCATAACACCACACCTCATCGCATGTTGCTTGATCTCATCTCATGTCATGTTGTCATCATTCTCATTCCCTCTCGCTTTATCTTGCCTCACCTCACCCTATCTTGTATCTTCTCACCCAATCTCTCATCTCATATCCCATGAAAGATTGCCTGTCGTCATCTCATTCGGTGGCTCTCATCTCACCCTACTTCACATCATCTGGCTTCCTCTTCTAACCTCTCATCAATCTCACGCCATCTCATCTGATGTCACGAAACTTACTCTCATGTCAGCTCATCTCCTTGCATGTCCTCTAATTTCATGTCACCTCATGTTATTTCACCTCATCTCAGCTAATCTCTTTTCACGTCACAGCAGCTCACTTGAGATCACTTCACCCCCTCTTAACTCATCTCACGACGCCTCATCTCCTTTCACGTCACTTCATCTTTACTCATCGTGTCTTTCTCCTTCATTTCACTCGGCCTCCTCTCACCTCATATCTCCTCATCCAGTCGTTTTTACCAGATTTACCTTTCAGTTGTTAAATAATTCTGCCATTGATGCCACCTAGTCGAGGTTATATGACATGAGTGATGAGGAAACTAGTCCCTCTGTGTGCGTTGTGGGTAGATAAACCTCAAAATGGCAGAAACTATTATCTGGTGGTTTTCACCAGGTTACTGCATCCAAAGAGAAGAGGCAGATGGAAAGAAGTCATGAGGAGGAGGAGGAGGAGGAGGAGGAGAGACTCTTAACTGTGAGTCTGTCTGTACAGCATAATCAGACATTGAATAAGGGTCAATTATTAAAACGTATAAGGACAGAAACATGTCTGAGCTCATGTTCGTGCTGACTTTCAGAGTCCTCCATGAGAAATCCTGGCAGTGCGATCTGTTGACATTCAGATCACGTTCCACTGCACATCTCCCAACTCCACCAAGAATCCACAGCAGCCATGTTGAAACCCACCCTGCCATGCAGAGGAAGGGACAGATTTCCAGGTTTTACTGAAAAAGACCAGATTCATTAAAAACAAGCAGCTCGTTTAAACTAGCCGTCCTTCAGTCTCGTCCCTGTGCACCTGCAACGTGCTGTAAAAAATACTCTTTACTGCAGTTAAAGTTAACGAGGTCCTGTGATGAGCTCAGCTCAGAAAATCCTTGTGAAATTGAAGATAAACACGACCCGCTGATTACCCTTCAGTAATTAATATAGTAGAATAAATAAACTGTAAATGGTGTATTTAAAATCTATAATTTTCACCCAGTTCCATAAAAGCCAAAATCAATGAGCTCTAAGGACGTTGCCCTGCTGGTCTTCCCCTCTGTGAGCATTCATGTCGACTGAGAAATCTTTTTATCTTTATTGTCTTTATATGGAGAATGAATGAGCGCTTAGATGTGAGTCATGCTGGAAAATGGCAGTCACAGCTCTGGAATCAATAACTCACAGATATTGTTTGGTCTTCAGTTGGCAGATTGTAGATTGTAAGAGATCTTTCTTCTCAGGGACAGGAAGAGAAACATCAGACACATTTTTCAATGAACGAATCGATTAGTTGTAGACATCTTGTGACCGATCTTTAAAGAAGGCTGTAGGCGAGGGTTGTGCTACACTACAGTACTCTTATCTTACTCCACTTTTATGTGTTTGTGACTTGTTTGATTGTTGGTTGAGTACAGGGCTGCAACAAATAATTATTTCCATTATTAATTGATCTGTCTATTTTGTTTGATTTTTTGATTTCCAAATAAATCTTTAATGGGGATCTTTAGCAGCTTCCTGTGAGTCAGCTGATCCTGAGCGGGTCGGTCAGATCAGGTGATGCTGCACTGACGTGGAACATTTGGCTCTGGTTGAGCAGCAGATTGTTTGTACAGCAGGGGTGGGTTCAGGTCAGTTCAGGCTGCCACGGACTTATCACTAACACAGACACAAACACCCGACCACTGTCTTTAACCTCGGGGTGAGGAGGGGCCACAGGATAAACCTGAAGGGTCGCAGGATACTTGACAGGAGGGGGAAGCTAAGGAAAAAACACTTCTAATATCTAAAATTATATTTAGTTCTTCAGACTTTTCTTTAATACGTACTTTTTTTTCCTGTGAATTACTGGATCATTGTAGACAAATGGAGTCTGTGACGAGAATTCATTTAAATGTTGGGGAAACACCTGCTTTATACAACAGGCAAGGATCAGTGAAACAGTTGTTGTTTCAAAGCTGATCATGGGAATCATTTTTCCAATAATAATACTTCCTGCACCTGAACGTATCATTCGTTTGACTTTCAGTCTGTCATTTTTTTTTTTTTTTAACTGTGTCTCCAGACAGAAAGGAGGAAATGATAAATATAAAAATTACATAATTTTTCTGGGTGGGGTAAATCTGTTTTGGTGATTCGCCCAAAGGGGAAAAAAGAAAACTGTATATGGAAACACTGCAGTCTTTCCAACAAAAGTAGGTCATGTTGCAAAACTACTGTTCATAGAAATCTGTAAAAATCTTTACTTTCCGTAACTGTGGTGAATCTTCTGCCCTCATTTGTGTGTAGGTGCACAGCTATGTACCAAGCTAGACACCCTTTCACTAAAGGGGGAAGACATGCTTCTAATAAAAACTTAAAAGGCCAAGTCCTGAGTGACACATTAACTAATAAAGTTAGACCAAAAGTAATGAGTACAGTAACAAGGAAACTGGATTCACAGATATATAGACGAGTTGTCAATGTAGTCGTGCTACATGCAAGGAAGAAATAAAAGTATCACCAGTTACTAATTACCAGCCATCACTAGTTTTTGTTTGCCCCTCCCTGGGATGGACTAAATATTAGACACACCTTTCAATATAATGCGATCCAGCACCACCCACCCCAACCTCATCAATAAAGTAGAGCTATCACCTTTCCGACAGCGTCAACAAAATCTGGACGATTTTAAGCTTCATAAAAGCAGAATTCACGGCAGAGCTGTTGTGTTAGATTGTGCACACGTATCTGATAAAGTGGCCAGTGAGATTATTCGCACTGTGTGATTCTTTTAGCAACACCTTCCTCCTGGCTTCCATCCGCACACCTGCACCTCATTTGTATCATGTCTTGTGTTTGAATTTTACTTCGACACTGTGATGAAGGCTTCGAGCCAGATCAGGGTGGTGTCAACTGTGCTTTATCATTTATTTTAGCCAGAGGGGCCTTGGGATCTTTTTCTTCCTCGACTCCTCTTGAGCATCAAGTGTGGCTGAAGTGTGACTTTTTTTTTTTTACAAAATACTCATGCTTTGTGTGTAAAGCAAAGCCACACTCCAGTGGTTTCCTTTTTATAGACATGTGGTCTGCGTGGATGTGAATATTAATGTCTCGTGTTTGGGTCTGCAGGTCTGTCTGGTAACCCCGTCGATCTGGAGAAACGTCACACGTCGTTTGGAAAAAACTTCATCCCGCCCAAGAAGGCCAAGACGTTCCTGCAGCTGGTGTGGGAGGCTCTGCAAGATGTCACGCTTATAATCCTGGAGATCGCTGCCATCATCTCGCTGGGCCTGTCCTTCTACCATCCACCCGGGGGTGACACTGAAGGTTGGTGCAGTCGAACTTTCACCTGCAAAATTATTATTATTATTGTTATTATTACAAATATTATTTATGACACTGAGATCATGTACACACCATTTTATTTTATTTATATTTATATTTGTGTGTGTGTGTGTGTGTGTGTGTGTGTGTGTGTGTGTACATGTTGAGGTTTAAGTAACCTGGTGACCTTTTAAATCTGATCTCAGTATTTTTTTGACTCCAGCTGTTAAGACAACAACATAGTAAATGAATCTGTTTTAGCTTTTCTCCTCCTTTCTTCTCCTGTATAACACACACACATTATTTATGTAATATAATTTATATAATTTGAAAACCTGGTTATTATCCTGTGCAAAGATGTTCAAAAACTAAAAGATAATGATTAAGAAAATATGATTTCTATTTTACAAAGAGTAGCAATTAGCCTAGGATTTAATTTACAAATTAAAAAGAAGATAGGAAAATGATTATTATTTATTTGGTAAAAGTGATTCCAATTCAACACGTCCTCGTCCTCTCACAGCATGTGGCGAGGTCGCAGGCGGTGTCGAGGACGAGGGCGAGGCTCAGGCTGGCTGGATCGAGGGTGCCGCCATCTTGTTCTCGGTCATCATCGTTGTCCTGGTGACGGCCTTCAACGACTGGTCCAAGGAGAAGCAGTTCCGTGGACTGCAGAGTCGGATCGAGCAGGAACAAAAGTTCACCGTCATCCGCAAAAGCCAGGTCATCCAGATCCCTGTGGCCGAGATCGTGGTGGGAGATATCGCACAGATCAAATACGGTACGAGGCCACAGACGAAGAAACATCAAACCTGTGACATAAATAACGGACACCTGAACATTTTAGTTATATGTGATAGTAGAACGTGTCGTTTCAAAACCATGGGCATTCATATGCTGCTACGACGCCCTGGCTGCAGGAATTTGCTCTAATTCAGCCACAAGAACATCAGTGAAGTCAGCCTTTGATGTTGGGTGATGAGCTCTGGCTCGTAGTTGGCGTCCCAATTCATCCCAAACATATTGGATGGGCTTGAGGTCACGGCTCTGTGCAGGCCACTCAAGTTCTTAAGCGATAAACTCATTTCTGTGTTGACCTGGATTTTGAGCATGGGGTCATTGTTACACTGAAACAGGAAAGGGCCTTCCCCAAACTGCTGACACAAAGCTGAAAGCTCACTGTAGCTTAAAATAACATTGCATGCCATCACATTAAGATTTTCCTTCTTTGGAGCTAGTGGTCCAAGACCAAACCAGAAAAAACACGCAGACATACAAGTATGTGGATATCCAGTTGGCCATATAGTGTATGGCTGATGGGAAATCTTCACATACACACTCCAAGAAAGGCAATTTTACATAACCTGCCTCCTTCATCTTTTTTTAAAACTTTGGTCTGAAATATCACTGACCACCACGGAGCGTGCTAAGGACTTCCTCAATCTGTTACACTGTCCTCACTCAATAACAACCACAGAATGTTAAAAGTTAAAAACTTCAGTCATATTTTCTATTTTACAATAACAGCATTCATAGGAGAGCTAAACAGTAGGTATTCAGCTGTTTGGTTTCACTTTTTAATGCAACATTCTGGTGTTTAGCTCTCATCATTGTTTGAGGACTAAGGCAAAAATCTGTAAACACTGAAGCTGTATCGAGAAATAAAATGAAATGCAGGTCCTGTATAAGATCCTCTTCTCTTCCCAGGGCTGAAAGGAATAAGACCCTCTGACCTCTGACCTCTGTACTTGCAGGAGACCTGCTGCCTGCTGATGGGATCCTGATCCAAGGCAACGATCTGAAGATTGACGAGAGCTCCCTGACCGGAGAATCCGACCATGTCCGCAAGTCTCTGGAGAAAGACCCCATGCTGCTGTCCGGTGAGTTCCTGTTCAGTCACATGACATGGACCAACATGGATGATTCTGGTCTGAGCTGATTCTGCTGATTCATTACTCTTAAACAAGAACATGTTTAATTCTTGAGAGGAAAGTCGAGGATCAAACATCAAACCTGTTTACAATCCCTGTATCTGTTTTTGCTGCATGACTTGTAAAAGTTATCTTGCAAACCTAAAACAACAATAATAATAATATTAGTTAAAACTGGCAAAACAAACTGTAACAAATCTCAAATACAACTTAAATACTAATAAGTATTCAATGATGCAACTGGAGAAATGATTAGTGACTAAAATCATAAATGATTTGATAAATGACAGTGATACAGCGACAGCAAAAACCCAGGTTTCAGTGGTGACTCATACCTTTTTGAATCTTTCCTCAGGAACCCACGTGATGGAGGGATCGGGCAGGATGGTGGTGTCAGCCGTCGGCCTCAACTCTCAAACCGGCATTATCTTTACTCTCCTGGGTGCCGGTGAGAGCGACGAAGAGAAGAAGGTCAAGAAAAGTAAGACACGAGACAAAGCCCCTGACACATGTCTCAAAAAACACGACACACGTTGAAGTGTTGAAGGTCATGCGAGGACAGTAATTGTGTGAAGTGTTGGGAGGGAAGTTTGGCTAGAAAGACGACTATCACCGTGTCAGCTTCTGAATATTTCTACTCTACTGTTTGAACAGCGCAGATTGGAAATATTTGCACGTTCATATCAGCTGGTGTTGATTTGAAGTTTCTCCTGTCATACTAGCTGACTCTGTCAGCAGGTAGACTTCATCCAGTCTGGGCTGATAACAGCAGAGCTGTTTGAAGGGTCTAACTGTAGTATTTTAAAAACATTTAGCTTCAATCTGAACCTTAAAATATTATCAGTGAATGAATGAGACCATGGATGAATTGATCCGTAGTGTGTTATTTTACACTAACAGTTTAACACAAGTGTCTGGCCAACAGCGACAAGTTCACTTAACCCCTCCCCCAAACAGTGAATGTCCAATCACAGCCTAGCAACCATAATAAGGCATGGCAGATTTATCGGTGTTTGAATTTCTCCACACATTAAATCCAGTGAACATAGTGTTGTAGAAGAGATACTCTGCATCCAACGAGTCTGAAGGGTGGTGTCATTTGTAGTCAATGTGAGCTGCTAACATTAGCATTCCTGACCTAACAGCGTACTACCTACAGCTGTGACTGAGAAATAAACCTGATCACACAGTTTTGTTTTTTTGTTTATTTTAACACTTGAAATACAAGAAAAAACTTTACTTTACCTTTATTTACATGTCTTCTACATGAATCTTCAACTTTCAGACTTTAAATCAATCAATCGATCAATCAATCACGTCAAACAAGTCAGTTTCAAACACTGGGGACAGTTTTGAACCAACTTAACTCAGTAGCTGAGTCATCTTATCAAATCTGCCGGTGACTTTTAAAAACGAGAAGCTGGTTTTCTTTACTTCTGTCTGAAATCAAAGAGTCATTATTTAAAAAACTGGAGTATGAGTTTTGATGACAGATCTCCCACCTTTAACTGAATAGGTGTGAGACGGGAAGCTTGACAGGCGTAGCAACAGTTGTGAGTTTTCCAATTTGCACACTTGCAAATGAAGGCGTCGTGGTGAACATTTCCGTCAGTTCACTTTTTCAACAGTGTTTTCACGCGGACCTTAAAAAGGACTTAGAATCACCTAAATAAATACTACATCATGGTCTCATTTGTTCCTGATAGTTTATGCCTTTTATACAGAGGTATTGATTTGACAATGTTGTAATGTCGGTTACCAATGTGAAACGTACCTGTCCCTGTTTACATACAGTTGTTTTTGAAGTGGAACCCTTCAAAAGCCAGAGTCCAGATGATCCTCGTACTATCACAGAGCAGTTTGATGTAAACCAACAGGCTTCTGCAGTCGGTCTCTATTGCTTTTGATTTGCTTGTGATCACGCTAACCCCCTTTTACTCATGTCTTTTTCTTTAGTTTGTTTTTTGTCTTATCATTTGTTTTATTTGCTAAAGTTTTAGTTTGTCAGGCATTCATTGTGAACTGGCTGAATGTACCAGCTCAGCGGAGAGAGACGCTCAGGTTTAAATTTCAGCCTCCAGTCACTGATTTTAAAAAGCAAACCAGTAATGAATTCCTAATGAGGAATACCACAAGACAAGTTTTCCAATTCCACTGAAATGAATATTTAGATTAGCATCTCACACATGTGTCCGTACTGCTACACTTCATTCCTCATTGACATAATACATTCCCTGAGCATAGCGTTCGTCTATTCCTAATCTCAACCATAATCCTAACACATGGCAGGAACTCTGAAAAAGCCCTTAGAAGAAGAGAGGACTGGACAAAATGGCACCAACTTTTCAACATGTCCTCACTTTACAAAAATGTCTGCACACACCAAGTCTGAAACTTTAATTGGTCTTAACAAAGAGAGAAGTACAAGAACACACACAGTCACTGTTGTGTGTCTATTGTGTTCTGGTGAGAGCAGATCAACCTGCTGTACATGCACACACACAGACACACACATTCATGCACTCATTTGGAGTCACACCCATTGGTTATCCTATTCAGCCTTCAGTTTGTGCAACACACACACACACACACACACACACACACGCCCTTGCAGCAGTTAAGTCTCAGTCATCAGTCACAAAGCACCAATGTGAAGAAGAAAGAGGTGTGTGTGTGTGTGTGTGTGTGTGTGTGTGTGTGTGTGTGTGTGTGTGTGTGTGTGTGTGTGTGTGTGTGTGTGTGTGTGTGTGTGTGTCCATTTTAGGGCAACAGGAAGTTAATGTCCCTGTGGAGGGAAATGCACTTGACCTACACCTCTCACATTCACACTGTCAGATGTCTGATCAATACATGATCACAAGACAGCTGCTAGATGTTTAGATCTGAGCATATGTAAACAGCCACACGGATCAGAGTTCAGATGTGTGCAGTGAAGGAACAAATCCAAATCCATCCGTCACTCCAACACAAGCTGATCCAGTCCACACATTGTTTGAACTGGAAGAATAATTGTGAAGTTGACCAATCGACAGCCTCTTCCACATGTAACAGTCTAGTTTGGAGCCATTTTTAGAAGCTCACGTCAAATAAAATCAAACCTCCAACTTACAAAGTCAACCTTTTGACAAACAACCTTTATTTGAAAGCCAACAGTAAGGAGATGACAGGAAATGAAATGAAATGACAGATGTGGAATGACATTCAATAAAGTTTCGCTGCCGGGGACGAATCAGCAAGTACACGAAACAAAGTGAAACAGAAAACAAAGTTGAGCTACGATCTACAGAAAGAAGGGGACAAATAAATACAATTGTGTACACTGTCTCTGGTATTTAAGTATTCAGTATTTAAGTTCATTGTGTATCTAGAAGCTGTAGATTGGAACCAGAGTTTATTAGACCACCCTCAGACAATGAGTACTATTAATGTATATGCACCGGAACAGCAATACAGTTTATCGACAACACACACACAAAAAGTGATTTCCCATGGAAACGGAGCATTAGAAAATATCAAACCAATAATGTTTATACATTATACATTATTTTTTAACATTCTCCTCAAAACGTTTGAATTGAACTTTACATTTTTCATTCATTACTGATTTATTTATGAATTGATTAGTGCGGCCGTCAGACATTGTGGCCGTTGGTTCTCCGCAGCAGGAAGTCATGCGTCTCTCTCCTCTGATTGGTCCATTCCTGCCCACAACACACACACGACACACACACACCTGTGGGTTTCTATCAGTTTGAACTTTTGTGTTTTCCCTCAGTTTGATTTGATCTTATTTTTCCTTTGAGCCATCTTATCAGCATTCCGCCCTCTCTCTCTGTCCGAACAGGTAAAAAACAAGGACCCACTGAAAATCGCAATAAAGGTAACCCCTCCATTCATCCATCTGTCCCTCTCTGTCCCTCCATCCTCCCTGTTACTCACCCCCTCCTCACCCTCCACCCAGCGGCAGGAGAGGAGTGTCCAGTCCATCTCTCTATCTCTCTATCTTTCTGCTGTAAAAAAAAAAAAAAAAAAGGGGGACGTTCTCTCGCCTTGCTTTACCTGTCAAAGGGTGCAACTCTCAACCTTCAGGTCTTTGACAGCCAATCAGTGTCCACAGTTGTCATGGCAACTGTCGCAGGGCAACTATGGAGTTATATTTTTGGCTCACTTGTGAGTGCATGGGACATTTTGAGCACAGAAAAAATATTTTTGCAAGTAGATACGTTATATTTTGTAGAGGAATTAATTATCAGTGTTTGAGAAAACAAAAATATATCTTGTGCTCAATAAATATATTTGCATGTTTGTTTTTATCCACATTAATGTGCAATAATAACCTCTCAGTGTTTTACTCATTTGCCCTTTAACCAAGCAAGTTAGCTAACCTGGTAGCTACCAGCTACACGGCCAAGGCTCTGAAGTCATTATTGTAGTTCCACCAAAAGGATACTGTCGACCTCATGTGACACGCCCGTTTTTTTCATTTGTTCCATTTCCGTTTTTGTGTCTTATCTTCCAGTTGATGTTGCTGGCTATAGTAAATACAAGAGTCTCATCCTACTATACGTTTCTCTGTTGAGAATGCATAGCCACATTTATGAGCCTGACAACACCACAGATATATTAAGAAGATGATCTTTAAGACAAAGCTTACAAGTTTGTTTGTTTTTTTTTAAAGGAACTGCATGATTGACTGTAACGCCTTGGCTGTATAACTGGTGATGCTAAAGTTAGCCATCTAGCTTAATTAGTTGCTGCTTGTCTGGAAGAAGATAGCTAGCTAGTTACGTACCAACACAACTAGGTTGCAAGCTAATGAAATAAACACACAGAGTTTCATAAAGGTTCAACAAACGATATATGTAACCAAAACCGTATAAACTACTTTGTCTGTGCAGGTGTGCAGACCAGATGTTGAAGGAGAGCAAATGAGTAAAACTGAGAGTTAGAGGTTATCAAAGTGCATTTCTGTGGATCAAAACAATCAAAAAAAAATACATCTACTGAGCACAAAATATATTTTGTGTTCACTCAAATAAAGTTATTCATGTAGTGATAATAATCTCTCTACAAACTATAATTCATGCTTGCAAAAATATTTTCTCTCCTCAAAATGTTTCATTCCACGCTCAGAGATGAGACATGACTATCAGTCCAAACTAGCCCGACCTCTGAGGTGTCCTTGGTGTATGACGCTGTGTTGACATCAAGTGCTCCTTTGGTGCCTTTAAATATTTAATATTTAATGGGTTTGGTGTGTGTGTGTGTGTGTGCGTGTGTGTGCGTGCGTGCGTGCGTGTGTGTGTGCGCGTGTGTGCGCGCATGCGTACATGCGTGCGTATGGTAACGATGTCATCACTCCAAACTCGACCAGCCAACTGCCCTCCAAGTCCCGTGTGATCCAACACATGTCCAACTTCCACGGCAAGCTGTCTCAACACATGCACACACACACACACACACACACACACTGATGCACACACATAGAGCTCCCCTCCTCCCGACCTCCCATGGTTTGAGCATCTGCTGCAGGCAGAATGCTTCTTGATGTACACAGAAGCACACACACAAACACACTGCTCTTGGACACTCACCACAGTTTTGCACAGAAAAATAATTCACAGTCAGAGCTGCAGTCACAGACGACCTCCACTAAAAACATATCAAGATCAAAACACCTTGAGTCACGTCATCTACTCTTTAGCTTTAGAGATCAATGAGATTTCTCACCAACTCTGCAGCTCTACTGAGATTTTTAGCCTCTTTTAGCTCCCAGCTTTGGTTTTATGCCAGATGAACTGTGTGGCTCAGTCTCCAGCAGCAGACAGCTGTTTTCACATGACTCCAAAGGGATGATGTGCCTTTGTTTCTGCTGGATGTGAAAGTAGGCAGCTGTTTGCACTTTATAGTGTGTCAGGGCTGAAGGAGGAGTTATTTTGCCCCCTAGTGGTCAAGAAAATTGGGTAACGCACCTCCTAAATTAAAGTCTCACAGTTAGTGTTAAACACACACCACAAGGTATTTCTAAGACCTTCAAAAGCTTCTACTTTGCTGTTTTTTCGATCACTGTAAAGCTACTTTCATTGAAACTCAACACTTCCTGCAGATGTTTCACTATAAAAGCCTAAGTAAAAGGAAGAATCCAGGTTGTCTCACACTTTCTTAAAGCTAAAGGTGACATCTCAAACCAAAGATTTTCAGTTTTCAACCTAAGAATGGGACTTGGGAATGTTTGCATCTTTGCTAGAAATACGACTAAATGGCTTAACGATTAATCAGTCATCAAAATAGTTGCCAATTAATTCTCTATCAATAGGGTAATTGATTCATCAACTAATCGTTTCCTTTCTAGGACATAATTATGCCTTTTAAAGTGGTTTAAAACGTTTCAAGTGTAACATCTGTGCATAAAGTTTAACTGACAGTAGCTCAACAATGATCAAAAAAACAGCTATGTAGAAGCAGCTGGCAATAATTAGTGAATGGAAACATGAGTGTTACAAACAGAGAGTGTTTTCAGCGGAGCGGTGAGTGTGACATGACTGACGTACTGATCTTATTACTGCAATGGAAATTGAGTTTGTACTGAATTTATGAAGAAAACAGGTAAACATTGAGGAAGTGTTGAAACCGAAGCAGCACAGGACAACAACATGTCACACTCACCACTTTGCTGCTCTCGCTTTATCTTTTCAACACCAACACCGTTTTCATTTTCTGATAAATTCCACTTACTTCACTGTTAAGGTAACATCAGTGAAACTAAACACTTCCTGCGGATGTGTCACAGTAAAAGTCGACCAGGAAAGACAGAGATTTGTCCTTTGAAGTTAAGCTCTTTGTATCTGAGAATTTATTCAGCATTTAAAAATGCTACACGATCAGTTTTCCCACCACATGGTTATTTATTCTGTTTTAATGAATGTGACTTTCTGTTGACACCGGTGAGAAAAACAAACAGTGCCGTGATGTCTTTTGGCTGTTTCGAGGCTGTCAGTGTGTGTGGGAGTTGCACCCTTGCAGTATTAGTGGGCTGTGGGCTGTCGTCTGTTCTGTTTGTGTATCTTCAGTTTCTTTTTTTTCCTTTTTTTTATATTTTTTTCTCGCCTTTGATTCCTCTCATTTCTCTTACTGTTGCCTCCTTGCAGGGTGTTGCTCAGGACTTCATGTTGTCTTGTAATCACTGTTTGACTCTCTCCCTCTTCTGTTATTTTTCTGTCTTGCTGAAGTCTCCTGCAGCCTCCACAGCTCTGCAGCCTCCTCTACCTCCTCCTGTCTCTCTCTGTCGTGGTTCTGCATCGCTGTCGTTTTTGGGGTGATCCTTTGAGTTTGTCTTCTGTTTGTTGACTTGCTTTCTTTTTTGATTGTCAGACACCCCCCTCCCCTCTGCCCGCCATGTGTTCTCCCATGGTTCAGTGCTGCGCCTGTTTACAGTTCTGTGGTTGGTCAGTGGGTCTCAGTCCTGTTCATGTGAAGCTGTGTCAGTTAGTTCTATGTTGTGGCTTGTCCTCAGAGTGGACCATGTGCATAAAGCTCCACAGCTTCCTGGTTTGACACCGACACATTCAGAATGTCTAAATGTCATGTTAAGGTCGTGCTGTCTTGAAATTACTTCCTTTCTAACGAAGTTCAGTGTGGGGAGCTTCTGATTATCAACCCAATGAAAATGAAGTGAGGCGGTGAAGGAGTTGTTTGGGATTTAAGTGTCCAAAAACACATTACTGCACATTAAAGACACTCTCTGGTTTTGTGCGAATATCTCCAAATCTTTGAAGGTCCCTAAGCTCAGTGTGGATGTTTTCTACAAAATATCAACAGCGAGCTGGGAGGAAATCTCTTGTTTAGAAACACTGAGCCTCGTGCAAGAACCTTTTTTTATATTTTTATTCATCTATTATTTCTCTAATGTTTGTCTGTGAAGTTTGCAGTTTGAACAAACTTGTTGTAAATTGCTCATTTTAACTTGATTCATACCAAGTTTTATTCACAAAAATGTATCACCAATAAAAGAGTGAAAACATTTGCAGTAACCTGTTAAATACATCTGCACCCCAATACCGTGAAACACACACCAGCCCTGATAGGCTTCACACTGTTTACACACTGGATATATAGTGCAGCACAACACAATGCATATCAGAATAACCCCTCCCCTCCACCTCCATGTTTTTCTTAAAGGCTATATGCTGCTGTTTTTCCCTTGTGGAGAAAGGCAGACTATCTGTACATGATGATTAGTCATGCACAACTAAATCTGAGAGTGTGACAAGTTCACCTCGATCACATCCTGGTTCTCACATGAGGCTCAGTCAGTGAATTTGTTTTAATACGTTTCGATTTTAACTTTCCGCTGAAAACTCACCGCAGACACGGCACAACAGAGGACTGTATGTTTTCCACTCCCAAACACTGCAGATTCCAACCCTCATTTTTATTATTGACTCACTTTGCTCTTGGCTGCTTCCAGTGAAAGTTTCTCCAGCAGAAATCAAAAACTGGGATAGATTTGACAGAAACGGTCGTCTTCGCTGACCCAGCAGGCTTCATTATTTGACATCAGTAGATAATAAAAAATCGGAAGAAGTTTTCCAACAGACATGTTCCCCCATTCCTTTTGAATTTCCTTTGAATTTCATTGACATTGCCTGGTTAGATTTTGGATAAATCTAAAGAGTTTCTCAGCAGTGAACAGATGAAGTTTTTCTTGTTATTTAAAAACTTTTTACTGGTCATCCAGGAATCTAAACCTGCTTTATGTCCATGATCTGTTGGTATTGTTGGTTCCAGAAGTGATGTTGATATTGTTACCAGCAGTGACTCTCCAACAGGGTTTAGTACAGGACAACACAGTTAGCTGATGGACGGCGTTTGAGTATTTGTGTATATATTTAACGGCCCAATCAGACATCTCCAGTAATTAAATGTTAATAACCTTTCTAAGAAATTATGGGATTTCAAGATAAAATCATTCCAGGTTCAGTCAGTGTTGTCAGCTCAGCTGTTCATAAGGACAAACAGCACGTCCAACCTGAGTGTGTCAGATTAATTGTAGATCTGTTCTGTTTCCATTCATCACCTGCTCACATTTCTTTGGTATGGAAATATGACAAACAGCAGTGGATGGAAAGAGTGCAGCTGAATTCAGTGTAAGCTCTTCAGCAGAGATCAAACAGATCAAAAAGCGGCACTTACAGCACTACAGTCCAAACAGGATCACAGCTGATGAAGTGAAATGCAAATACACAGTTTGTTTATGCAAATGAGGAGCAGAGCCGCCGAGCAGGACGTGAAAAACCAGACGCCATGTCAGACTTCAGAGCCCAGCCTCGCTCCAAACTCTGAGCTCTGATGTGAAACAAACAGAGTGTGTGTGCGTGTGTGATTGACAGCCCCCTGTTAAATCCTCTGTTGTATCTGCTGTTTTCTGTTCTGTCTGCTGCTCTTCATTACGACCTGCTGCTCCCAACTCGTCTGTGACACTCTCTGAAAGCTACCTGGACCTTTTCATGAATGTTCTGTTATCAAAAGTGATGACATGCTACTCTCTGCATTCAGCCAAAGGGTCACCATGTTAATGATAAAGTGTCAGGGGTCTTTTCTGATCTCTGAGAAAACTCGTTCCGTCGTTTTCAGCTTTCCCTCAGACTGAATCTGTAACGTTTTTTTCTGCCTCTCTGCCCTTTATCCCCAAACCACTCCTGAACCTTCCTCCCCTCTTCAATTGTTTTATTTTGTCATTTATTGTCATTGATTTAATTCATTCGCCTTTTGTCAACCTGTCCCACCTTTCCTCACCCTCTGCCCACAATTCCTCTCTTCTATCTTCATTCCTAAAAATACAACCATCTACCTTTTACACAATATTTTCTCCCCCCATCTATCACATAACTCCTTCCCTCATCCTCCTTCATCTTCACCTCTTCATCATCACAAACCTTTCCTGACCTCTCCTTAACCTCCTCCTCCTCATCTCTCTTTACTCTTTGCCCCTGTTCTACCTTTCTCCTCACTCATTTGCCCCTTAAAACCTTCCTCCTTCTTTTACCCTTCAACCATCACCTTATCCCCCCCCCACCCCCCACGCCCCTCCTCCTCCAGCCAAGACCCAGGACGGCATCGCCCTGGAGATCCAGCCACTGAAGAGCGAGGAGGCCCCGGAGTCAGATGAGAAGGAGGAGGTGAAACCGGTGAAGAAGGTCAACGTGACTAAGAAGGAGAAGTCAGTGCTGCAGGGCAAACTGACCAGGCTGGCTGTACAGATTGGGAAGGCTGGTGAGGAGCACACACACACACACACACACACACACACACACACACACACACACACACACACACACACACATTTACTCACATAAAACATGGAACAGCGTGAACATGAATGTGTGTCACTAACAGCAACACAATATGTTTAGCTTAGCACCTAGAAAAACCTGCTAGCCTAGCTCAGTCAAGAGGGAAAAAAACATGTTCCAACAAATCCAGAGAAATTTGGAACAAATAAAAAACAAAATAAAAGGGTTAATAAGTTTGATAAACAATATTAAAGCAAACATGTAGTCATTAATAATTGCAGGGATGAGTCAGCAGGTTCATCTGAACAAGACAGAGGGTCAGTTTATGCTCCGTCAGAACAAGGTCTAACGACGGACTGTTCAGCATGAAGTCAGAAGTGTTTATTGTTGTTTGGACGACCACGCCCAGATGTTAGATGAAAAGCCAAACATCATAGAGAGGGTGGAGGTGCGATATGTTCAGATACAGGGATAACGGCGCACATCTTTAGACGGTCACTCCCAGTGTTGCATTCAGTTGTTCTCAGGAAAAGTCACAGAAATATTTGTGTGGTTCAGGGCGGGGGCTTCTGAAGCTGAAGCATCTAACAAGCAGTTTGTAAAGCCGAGTCTGAGGCCACGCTACCGGCTATATGAGGCTGTACTAATGCGCTGCATGCTAATGTCAGCGTGCTATCATGCACACAGTGACATTATGATGTTCAGCACATATAACCTTCACCGTCTCAGTTTAGAGTGCTAACATTTGCTAATGAGCACTGAACACAAAGTACAGCGTTTGCAGATATTTGGTCATAAACCAAAGTAATTGAACAACTGAAACTCTGACATGATGATGGAGCTAAGTGAAACAATAAGAGACCGACAGTGTTATTATATTTCATCCTGAGGGGAAATGACATGTTGCACCCAAATTTCATGCCAATCCATTCAACAGAGCCACACCCTTAGAGTAGTTATAAAATCTCCACAGCCTCCAAACGTCCTTGTGATTATGAAGTGTTTGTTTACACATGCTGGTCTGGGCACAGTGACTTCTCATGTATGCATGGACAGTGACATGTGCATCAATGGTGAAGGTAGTCAGAGCGAACCTGCCATGAGCAGCTACTGTTGGGCTCTGCAGGTCTCTTCTGGAAACACAGCGAGACCAAAGGTATTTTGAAACACAGTTATGCCCCTGAGGGAGTTAAATATTCTGTAGCTCATCTCTCCTTGTGTGTGTGTGTGTGTGTGTGTGTGTGTGTGCCAGTACATAGTAATAGCCCTGCTATTTCCATTGTTTAAGATGATGTTACTGCTCCCCAGCTCTGAATATCTAATGTTAGAGAAGCTCTGAATGCACTTATTACACTTATTGCAGGTTTGTGTGTTTGGTTTACAGCCACAGAAGAGAAATAAATATTTTCCCCATGTCTGACGGCATCTCTCTGCGGGCGTCTGTGAAGGTTTTTTAATATAATGAGTACGTCACAGCTATCAGCCAAGCTAAAGTCATTCAGAATCACAGGTTTCTCACAACCGGAGGCTCTCGCAAAGTCACGGTACCAAAGCCACGAAAGACTCAAAAAACAGTGAGTGGAAAATACCAATAAGACTGAAGCTCACAGGTCAAATCAACTCTCCTGATCAAATCTGATCCTGGTCAATGTGAAATTTAAAATGATGGTGGATCATGATCTTGTAAAGACACGCCTTCATTGATCTGCTTTATACCGAGCTTTTTCTTTTTCCTTGATAACGTGACTCTGTATAATCACGTGGCTTGTTGAGCCAGTGTTTGTGCTAAGCTAGGCTAGGCTAACACATCCTGGACCTTTCTCTTTACTGGATGCACATATACGAAACTGATACTCATCTTCTCTCCTGACTCTGGAGAAGACAAAGATCAAGGGGATTTCCAGAAATGCGGGACTGTTCCTTTAACATCACACAAAGCGCTCAGGTCGGGGACGGAGAGGCTGAGGGTCAGAATGCACTCAGTTTTATTGGATGGATGTTTATTGGGTACATGATTCATCCCGGAATTGAAGGTATTGTCTGTGTCATTTCAATTGACCTTAATACACCGAGGGGCTTTCAGGACGGGGGGGGGGGGGCAACATCCATAGACTAGCTTCAGTAATAAACTGCCCTTCATTAGTGGACAGAAATAGAATTTGGGCCAAAACACTTTGACTGGAGGTGACTGACAGGAGAGATGATGCGGAAAAAACATAAGCAGTGGATTTTTGTGTTCCACCTGTCCTCACTTGTTTCTGATTTTACACTCAGGATGTGTCTGAGCTACAGACAAATAAAGAGATTTCCCCTTCTGTTTTGTCAAGTGGCAAACTTCCTGTTAGACCTTTACCTTGATTCTGCATCAGGTCGTCACAGGTTTGCAGAAATATAAACCACACTTTTTTTCTTTTTTTTTTTTTTGTTTGACCATGATTTCAGTTCCAGTTCTCAGTTTCATAAGCCTGATATATGCAAATGTTGCATTTAGCAATCAGTCAAGTCAAACATTAAGGAATAAGTATATTCAAGGGCATGAAAGTCACTTACTTTGTTTCTCTGGATTCAGTTTTCCAGCAACATGAGTCGTCGTCATTTTTCAGCAGGTAGTTAGGTAGTTATCAGATTGTCCTTGAATGCACCATGAGATGGCCATCATCTTTTAAAAGAGTGTTACCACGACAAAAACAACGAGAAATAAGCATCAGTCAGTCACTGGAATACTTGCAGTATGTCATTCGTATTTCACGCTGCAACAAAATATGTGGAAATCTGTGGCAGGTCTTTCTTGCCCACATCGAGATGAAAGGATGTCTGACTTGACTTGGAACAGGACGCGCGCTTGTCTTAAAACTCGCTCTGCTCGTTCCAACCAGGTCTGATCATGTCAGCCGTGACCGTCATCATCCTCATCCTCTACTTTGTGATCGACACCTTCGGGATCCAGGGTCGGGCCTGGGTGGCTGAGTGCACCCCCATCTACATCCAGTACTTTGTCAAGTTCTTCATCATTGGCGTGACAGTGCTGGTGGTGGCTGTTCCTGAGGGGCTGCCGCTTGCTGTCACCATCTCTCTGGCCTACTCTGTCAAGGTAAGCAGGATGGAAAGCAAAGGGGATTATGGGAAATGTAACACTAATGGATTTTTAACTCCTCAGAGAATCATGTCATGTTTGTTGAGGATTTGATAACTACACCTATCAAACATGTCTTTCATAACTCTGTCTAAAAACAGACCTCAGCTTCTAACCGTGTTCTCCATCTTTTAGAAAATGATGAAGGACAACAATCTGGTGCGTCACCTGGACGCCTGCGAGACCATGGGCAACGCCACGGCCATCTGTTCGGACAAGACGGGCACACTGACCATGAACCGGATGACGGTGGTGCAGGCGTACATCGGCGACACACACTACAAAACTGTCCCTGAACCAGATGTCATAAAACCAGAGACTCTGGAAGTGATGGTCAACAGCATCTCCATTAACTCAGCATACACAACAAAGATCCTGGTGAGACCCTCGCCGCCACAGCTTCATCTAACCACAACCTATATCTTATCTTTTCCTTAACCCTGACACCATGAAAGCCACAATGGTGTAAGATCGGAGACACCTGAAACCATTGTACATGCAGAAGTAGTCTGGGTGTCCGCCCCTCATTGCTCGTGACGACATGAAACTGGTGAAACTTCAAACTCTGACATCTCATCCAAACCTTTCTCCCCTTCTCAGCCTCCCGAAAAAGAAGGCGGCCTCCCCCGCCACGTGGGCAACAAAACTGAGTGTGCTCTGCTGGGCCTGGTGCTGGAGCTGAAGAGGGATTACCAGCCAATCAGAGACGAGGTCCCCGAAGAGAGCCTCTACAAGGTTTACACCTTCAACTCCTCCCGCAAGTCCATGAGCACAGTGCTGAAGAACGCTGACGGAGGCTTCCGCATGTACAGCAAAGGAGCGTCAGAGATCGTCCTGAGGAAGTAAGACATGAGATCAAATAGCAGATGGATGGATGAAGTAACGGATGACAGTCTTCACTCACTTCCTTACTCCCTAATAATCTCCCTCCACCTGTTCCGCCTCCCTCTTTCCTCCTCTCGTAGATGCTCTCGTATCTTGGATGCCCAGGGTCAGCCTCGCGTCTTCAAGCCGAAGGACCGCGACGAGATGGTGCACAAGGTGATCGAGCCGATGGCGTGCGACGGGCTGAGGACCATCTGCGTGGCCTACAGGGACTTTCCCGCCGAGGCCGGAGAGCCAGACTGGGACACCGAGAACGACATCCTGAACGAGCTCACCTGCATCGCCGTGGTCGGCATCGAGGACCCCGTCAGACCTGAGGTACGGAACACGGTTAACCACGCTCACGCACATATCTTGAACGTGGAAACACATCCTGTACTCAACACCCGATGTTGGTTTATGTTCATTAGGAATGTATGTGATTAGTCGACTGAACAATTAAAACGTCGGCGCCAGAAATAGTCAGTTCAAATAATTATTAATATTTTATCCATGTACTAATTATTATCTCTCTCGCAGTGAGTCATAGTCGGACTGGAAGCCCGACTAGTCGAATAGTCTAAATATAGTCTAATGAAATCGGAGAGTTTCAGTCACATAGGTAATAGTCGATGTGCCCTCCTGCCACCCGCTCACTGTTCCTGTCCGATTACACATAACTTAAAAACAAATCAAGTGATCCGACTTTAAATCCTGCCGATGTGAAGGACGTTTAACTTGAGACTGGCTCCACATAAGTGAAAACCTACAGAATTTTTAAGGTCCATTCCTCTATCGGTGCTGAAGACGCCAGGGAGTCGGACTAGCAGAGCAGAAAGTCGTGAGTGCTGTTTGCATGAGCAGAGGCTGTGGCAGTAAGTGCAACAGAGCCTCCCAATAAAGGAGGCGGTTTGAGCTGTTTAGTAAACTCCTGCTGAACAAAGATGATCGAAACCAGCAGAAATGTGACATCTCGGACTGCTGGACCGCTTCCATCTCTCCTAGTATTAATTATGTGGTACGTTTTTAGCCTCATTTGTCCCTTAATTTTTGCTTTATTTGATCTCTCCTCACTTACTGAAATTAATCAGGCCCAGTTTCCCAAAAGCATCTTAAGACTAAAATGATCTTAGCCCAAGGACCTACAATAAAACTAAGATTATCTTGAGCAACGATCCACAAAAGCCGCCTTTTAAGGAGGTTTTTTATCACACAGACACACCCGTTAGAAATCAGTCGGTTGGTCCTGGGATCGCCTCAAAGTTATGGGGAGGAGTGTGCTGTGGTATGCCATGAACTTTTTAAAGATTTTTTTTTTTTTTTTTTTTTGTGGGGGGGTCAAGTGGACAGAATTACTGGATTTTCTCTGTTGCAGTAAACACTAGAAAATAAGACCAGAGGCAATAGATAGAGAGACCGTAAATGTAATCTAATAACTCCAGAAAGTGGATTCAGTGTGAAGCGAACCACTTTCATCATTCATCAGAGAAACATTTCTTTATGATCTGTTATTTACCCTTTTAACCCGCATCATGCATCATATCATATTCACCGAGAGGAGGGGGGAGGGGGAGGGGGAGGGGGGAGGGGGGTCTTTATCTATTCAACAAGAAACACATTTTAATTATCCATCAGTGTCATTCTATTTTCTCACATGTGAAGCTGAAAATCCCACTGCGTCCACAGAAACTATATTTTGATGTGAGAAATATTAACATAATTTCCACTTTCCTTGAAAAATTTCTAAGAAGACTACAGAGCTGTCAACCCCTGCAGACTGACAGCTGATCCAGCTCGTCAAAGACTGACGGTGCTTCAGATGACTGTTCAGAGGAAGGAGGCTAAGGCTAAAGACGGGACTAAGACACAAGAAAAGAAAATGCGAGAGAAATGAGGACACAATGAAGACAAATCAGGATCACGATTCTACATGCTCTGAATTTCCACACTGGAAGGCAGAGTGAAAAATCTGCTGTCATGGCCTCCTCCAGGCTGCATCCCACCACCGCCGTGTATAAGGATAATGGTGCACAGTGTCATACAGTCTCTCCTCAAAGATATTCATGATGTTGCACTCAGTTGTTGTGAAAGAAGTAGTTTCGTTAATTTGACAAACGGCAGAAAGGGGCCGCAGCTCAGTGCGGCTGTGGCATCCGTTACCTGCAGTATTACGTCGGCTTCGGTGTGGTGTCGGTACGTCTACAGTATAACAATCAGTGTTTGCAGTCTGCGGCTGTTTTCACTGATACAAAAATGAGTTCAGCTTACTTCTAAAATGTCCTGCGCGCACTGCGGGAATTCAGCAGAGTCACCGAGGCTCAGTTTATTCCATCATGACAGAACAAAGAGAAAAACGGACAGTGTGACTGATCTGTCAAGCGGCTCCTGATTATATTATAATATTTGTGTTATAAGGGAAAAAGCTTCCAACATTCAGTGGTGTGTGACAGTGTCGAGATAAATGAACTCTTTTCCCTAACATGAAGACTGAGGTGAGTCCTGCTCAGGTGCGTCGGATTCAGAAGCTCTGAAGTGTTAAATGAAGCCTGTAATGAAGCTCAGAAAGCATCAGTGCTGCTGCCTGCTGCTTTAATGTCAGCGCACAAAGATCACAGACAGGATGGAAATAACTGGAGAGCAGCAGGAGAGTCGGCAGCTCATCGTTTATCTCTACACGACCTGTGATGGACACAAGACTCGTCTGAATATTTTAGCTATTCTTTCTGTTCAGACTTCTGAAACATGAAACTTGCATGTCACTGTGACCTGACTGTCTCGTCTGCACCGTAAATTTATATGGAACAAATCCCACTATCAAAGAGCTGAACCCTCGTATAACCACTTGCAATTAGTGGTTAGTTCCTTCACGAAAAGGGCGGAGCATACTGACATCATACAAACACTGGTCAAATTCCCGTGATGACCCAGTTTAACTCAGTAAAGTAGTAAAGTAAATCACGACGACTAAACTACTCGGCTTCTCCCTGTGCTGTGCCCTGCAGCTTTCTATTCTCTCTGTTTTATTCCTTGCAGTGATCACTGTGGAGATTTACAGTAAAAATTCATAGTGGTTTTTTTTTTTTTTTTTTTTTTAAACAACAGATCCTTGATTTCAGACACAAGTCAACAAAAGCCGCTTCCCATTTTAGGCCAGCGACCATCTCGCAAAAAAAAACTGAGGCTACAGTGAACATGTCCCAGGCCAAAAGCCCATTTCCTCAACAGTTAATTATTCATGTAGAAGACATGAAACTAAACTCCTATACAAGAGAAAAGCCTTTCATTTTATTATTCATATATTATTCATATCATTGAGCAATGAGGATGCAATACTAGTGTAGCTTGGGTAATGTTGAAGGACTGAACTGATCACGTTCACCTAAATCCAGTTCTAGTATTCTCCAGTAGCGACTCATCATAATCTTTAAAGTGACGGATGGATCAGAACAAGAAGCTGGAGAGTTTCTCTGTCCTCCCGGAGTTGTTACGTCTGTGCTCGTCTTTCAGGTTTCATGTTGTTGAATCTTGCACGTTTGTTTTTTCTGACACTCTTTCAGGTGCCTGAGGCTATTTCAAAGTGCCAGCGTGCAGGCATCACCGTACGCATGGTTACTGGAGATAACATTAACACGGCCCGCGCCATTGCAACCAAGTGTGGCATCCTGCTGCCCGGGGAGGATTTCCTGTGTCTGGAGGGCAAAGAGTTCAACCAGCAGATCAGAAACGACAAGGGAGAGGTGAGACGGCTACGAAAATGTTTTACTGCGGTTTATTGTGGCCTACAACTGTGTAATTAAAAATGAACCTAAAGCTGTGTGAAGCTTTGAAAACAGGCTGCGTCCAAAATTCACAGCAACTTGAGCATTGATGTAATTTTGGCTGATCGAGTCCTTGAGCATAACCTGTGAACAAAAACATCCACCAGTGCTTCCACATCCTGCAGACACGGAGCGAGAGTCCAGCTGTGGCGGCAGCTGTGTTGAAGCTTAGTTTGATCGTAGTGTGGAAGCTACACTATTAACTTTAAAAACAGGTTGCACCATGCAAGTTAGATACAATGTATAATTAAGATACAGATTCCCACCTGATGGGAGCCACTTCTCATCAGCTGCTGTCATGGAAACAATGAGAAAATGGTAGGGAGTAAGGATATAAGAATAATTTTCTGTCAAACTACATCATTTGTGATTTTCTGCTGCATTCAGTTGAATAAAGACTTGGTTCTTTGTAGCATGAAGTCGTTCAGGTGTTTCCTTCTGCAGAGTCTTTTACACCAAGATGAATATTTCACAGACTTTTGTTGACGTCGTTTTGATTTATGACCATATTGACGATGTGATGCAGCCAAACTCACCTTAGGAAAGAAAATAGTCCGAGATCCGATAAATGATGGTTGAATTGTTAACGAGGTGTCGGACAAACACGTTGTATCATATATGAGCTAATTCACACAAACCATTTTTAATGTTTCACTTTTCCAGGTGGAACAAGAGCGTCTGGACAAAGTTTGGCCCAAGCTGCGCGTTCTGGCTCGTTCCTCACCGACAGACAAACACACTCTGGTCAAAGGTGGGTTTGTTCTCGCAGGGATTCAGTGTTATATTGTAGGATGTATATTGTATATTGGTTAGAAAAAAAGAAATGCAGTTTTAAACCAGATCTCATGTCGGTTGAAAATTGAAAATGTTTGTATTTTTAATTCTTTAACAGAAGGAGAGAATTTGAAATATTGACACGCTCATTGAGATGGAGAATTGTTTCTTTGTTCCACTCTGTTGATCAGGCATCATTGACAGCACGGTGGGTGAAACCCGACAGGTGGTGGCAGTGACAGGAGACGGCACCAACGACGGGCCTGCCCTCAAAAAAGCTGATGTTGGCTTTGCCATGGTAACCACTTCTTTTTTTATTTTCACGTCTTTTTTTTTTTTTTTTTCTGTCATCTTTGTTCGCCAGCTCTTCACTGCTTCACTCATCTGCTGCTTCAGTTAGCTCTGCCTCATTACCAGAAGAAAAAAGTCCTTAAGTTAATTACATTTCTAACGCAGCCATGAAATAGGTATTTTCTCTAAACATCATCCACAGTAACGCCTGAGTGTAATGCCATGGAATTATTAAGATAGCTGTAAAATGGAATAATAAATCAATAAGTGTTGAGCCCGGATGCATCAGGGAGAATTAATCTGCCTTTTTTATATTTTTAGCTTATGCATTATGTATTATATACAGTAAATAATGTCTTTCAGTGATTTTGCATGTTTTATCTTCGCCAGTTTATTTGACAGTGGAAACATTACAGTCACCCACAGCATGATGGGAACTGTAGTGTCAGAAACTCAAAACATACAAACAAACACGTGCATTACAAATGATGCCTGGTGAGTCGTATCTCTGAGTTGACTCACATAACCTGAAAATAATAGTACAGTAATAAAGCATTATATGATATGAGACTAGAGACTGGGATTAAGGGGCTTCTGGGGTCTGTTGGTTCAAGGCCCTAAATTCAGTTGTGAACCAGAAGCAGCAAGTGATTCACCTGAGGAGCAGAGACAGAGAGTGACTGAAACCCGAAGCAACGTTTGTCATCAATGAATGTGAATGAATCAGATGCTGATGATTATTTGTTCATTAGATCAGAAAAGATTCACAGCAAGGAGTTTCTCTCAGCTGACATCGCAGCACCAAGAGCTGCACTGAAAGTGATCAACTGAATATTTAAGCGGATACTTACCGATTAAAATGGCCCATGGATGCGCTCAGTAACATCAGCTGAGCTTTGTGTGTTGCTGTAACCTTTATTTACTGAGGAAAAGTCATCTGAACACCAGTGTCTCCTGCAGGCTGCCGAGCAGCTGCTGAGCTGTCAAACAGCTCCCTGACAGTACTCACTGTTCCTAAACACATCACGAACACACTCTGGGGACTTAAACCAGTGACCTTCCAGATACTAATGTGTCCCATTTGGAATCTTTTTCAGTTTGCACCAAGTGTCCCAGTTCAATTATCACCTGTTCAGCTGGAAAACAGAGCGATTCACCTCCGTCTGTTTGGGAGAGTCTGACTCTGCAGAGAGATGCAGCTACTCAGATCACAGCTTCTTCATGGTTACGTGGTTACTGTTAACATGAGACTAATTCTCCTGTTTTATTTTCACCACCACCGTGTCGTTTGACTGGGTTTAAAATATTCTACACTTCAGCTGTATTTTCCTCTACACCAGGGACGTCAAACTGAAATCACCTGGGTGTCGCTGGCTGAGTTGTTCTCTCCTAGAACACTGGGATGGGAAAAAAAAATCCAGTATTTGTCAGTAGTAAATTCCAACTATATCACCTGTGGAGCTGAGCAGCTGGTCGTCCCTCCTCCTCTCCCTTGTATCTGTCATACTGTGGTGGAGGTACAGTAGGATAATGGTGCTGAAGCAGGAGCTCTCCCCCTGCAGATGCGACTGACAGTCCTATTAAACTTTCTTTAAGGTTTAGAAAGAGACAGGTGTCAGGTGTCTCAGCTGCTGCTTCCCAATCTTTTTGGCTTCTCACTTCTGTTACTACTACAGTGAAGCAAGTGTTCCCCTCTCAGATTGAGGAAATGTTATAATTATTTTTTTTCCTTTTTTTGTGTATATATGTTTCTTCTTTCCTATCCCACTGATCATCTCATGACCCCTCAGATTTAGCTTGGGGCTGCTTTTAGCGGATCCCATCCATCACGATGGGAACCACAGTTTGCTAAATTTTAGATGTGAAGTAAGAAAACCCTTGCTAGAAATTAAATAATGACTCTATGGTGTGGTACAGTAGTTTCAGACCCCTGCTTTAAACCCACGAAGAGAGAGTCCAGTGAGAGTAAACAGAACACTCATTGATTGTGGTCGTGAAAGGAAGAATAACTGAGACGGAGACTTTGAGAGAACAACGGCGACTAACAAAGAAAACTGACATCGCTGTTAAATTGAAAATAGAGAAATGATGATGATGTAGCCTGAAGTGTCATTTAGCTCAAATCTGCAGCACAGATGAGGTTGATGAGGCAATGACAGGACTGAACTCAGTAGCAGCCTGTCTGGTCTTCATGTCTGATTTATTCCATGTGCCATAAGTAGAAAAGGGTCAAATGAATATTTGATTTGGTAGATCAGCTCATCCTCCAATCAAATAACTGATATCATTATTGTTTTGTTTTTTTTTCTTGTAGTTGCAGTATTTGAGCTTTTGAACAGCAGACACTGGTTGATACTGAAGCTCATGCTCTGGTTTCTCCATTTAGATTCATCTAGAAATAAAATGCAGCATGTTGTTAGTTATAGGATAAGTCTAGTGCAGTTTTCTTATTGTCAACACATTATTGTCTGTCTTATTGTCTGTGGCACTCAGCCCCAATTTCCTGAAACAGATCATGTCCCTCTGTTTCCTGACAGGGAATTGCCGGCACAGATGTTGCGAAGGAAGCGTCTGACATCATATTAACTGACGACAACTTCACAAGCATCGTCAAGGCTGTGATGTGGGGGAGGAACGTCTATGACAGTATCTCCAAATTCCTGCAATTCCAGCTGACTGTCAACGTGGTGGCTGTGATCGTGGCGTTCACCGGCGCCTGCATCACACAGGTAGGCTGCAGGCTCCATGCTGGATCTGAAACTCATGTGTGGTCACTGCTCATCGCAGCTGCAACAGACGCACCAGGATGTTCATGTACATTGTATCAAAACATCATATCACATGAAGTGGTTTATCATAGACACAGTTATGTTATGGGATATCAACCAACTGTCTTAGGCCAGGAACACACTGGATGTGTCGCGTGTTCGTCCCAGCTGTTTTCATTTCAGCGCACGTTAACAGGTTAGAGCGGACACGGCTGCGTCGCGGCTACGTCGCGGCTACGTCGCGTGATCTAGAGATTTGGCATCTGGCCTATTTGAGTACAAACCTATTTTTTTTAACGATTTTAGCAGTGACATTTAAGTGAGGTTGTCTGTCATAAATAAAACGGAAAGTAATTAATAATGAAGAGAAATCAAACATCCCAGTAACCTGCAAACTCTGTAGAGAGATAGAGCTGCAGCAGCAGAGACACGGGGGGTGAACACACACACGTGCTTCTCCGCAGCAGCTCAGCACCGCCAGCTGCCGTTGTTGTCATCGTGTGCGTGTGCGCGTGTGTGTGTGTCATCATGGCAAACAGTGGTCCTAGAGACACCTACTGTAGCAGGAAGCACCTCTGAGGCAGTTTTCGGTGCTTTGGCAGGTGTTTACATGTCTGTCCGTCTGTGGACAGATTTTCAGTGTGACCTTCACAGGTGTGTGGCTGATTTCACAATGAAGGCCGAGTTTGAAGATGGGTGTGGTTTGACCCGTGGCTACTGGCTGGTGTGCAAGATGGTCTCTAGTTGTTTATTAAATTCATTTTAAACAATGTTTTAACTCTCTAAATAGTACTACACATTTTAGTTCATCCTCAGCGTTGCTCCCTAGGTTCACCTCTTTCATTGAAATGGATTTATTTTCTTTATTTATGACCAGATACCTTGAAACCTTGAATCAGGCTGAGCATCACTGACTCAGGACAGACTCACAGAGCTGCAGTGTGACTTTAGACTCTTTACGTTTTTAGAGACAAAAAATACTTTGTATTTCTTTAACATCAGCAAGTCCATAATATCTTCTTCCATATTATTCTTCCCAAGGAAGAGTTGCTTTTGTTTGATTGTTGAACCTGAGCAGAAGCTTGTGTTTTGATAGGTTGATTTAGTTTTGCAGCTTGTTGTTGTGTTTGATGCATCTGCTCTCACGCCCTGTAAACATCTGTAAATCATCTGTAAATCTCTGTCACCATATCCACAGAAACAATAAGAAAAAGCTAATAATCTGTGACTTTGATGTGGCCGTCTGGCTGCTGTGAGGAGGCGAGGCGACCGTGTCACATTTTTTTGTTTCATAATGTGTCTCTAATCATGAAAGTGAACTCCTGACACAATAAAAAAAAAAAAAAAGTAACTTGCGACTGTGTATTAATTGAAAGGCTCACAGCTGGCAGGACCGATAACTAACTCGTCTACAGAGCGGAGAACAGAAAGTAGGCTAAGATACAGCCTGAAACCATGGCAACACGACACCATCATAATCCTGAAATATACCAGGGACTCAGCAGGTCTGTGGTCTCTGTGCTGTGTTTATGCTCACTGATCATTCAGGTCACTGAGATGTTGATACCGATGATTAGAGGATGGCAAACTGATTTATGTCCTTATTGTTTATACAGAGGATGGTGTGTGTGTGTGTGTGTGTGTGTGTGTGTGTGTGTGTGTGTGTGTGTGTGTGTGTGTGTGTGTGTGTGTGTGTGTGTGTGTGTGTCCTGCATTTACATGCATTTGAATCTTAAGAATAGGATATATATATATATATATATAAGAAGGCCCTCGCTCCAGAGTGTCGATGGAAACACGAGACCAGTTTGGATAATTTTCACTTTTTAGTGTAAATACAATAAATTACAGCACAACAAAGCAAGCCCAGAGTAGATGTGTGTATTATGTGCACAGGAGGAAAAAACACAAATTGACAATTCAGTGAAGATTTGTAACTGTAAAGAGGTGATCTCCTAGCACCTGAGAAATACTGTATATGTCTTCCATATAAAAAGAGGGATCTTAGGTGACCTTTCACAGATATACATTGTAGTACATATAACACATAACACATGTAACCTTCACAGTCTAACAGGCAGAGAAGCTGGTTTTCTCCTCACCTCCAAATCTATCAACAGCTAATATGTAGGATATAACAGCAATATCAGCTTCACAACAATATTAACAGAACTGAACAACATGTAATTATGGTAAGGCACTAGGATATGTAATATAACTGAACAAGGACAGAAAGGTTACAGCTGTTCCAGCGCCCATCAATTAAGTCCAGCAGTGACCAATTAGTCAGAATCACATATACATGCCCAGTACACTTTGTTAACGGCCTGTTTTCCAGAATAACGATGCGCAAAGCCGAGTCGTGACTCGTCACAACTCTGTGTCACATACAGAGTATGGGAAGGATAAAGTGGGCCACATTTTTTTTTTGGCAGCAGGAACTTTCTCCTCTGCTCACTGTGCCACGAGATTGTTAATTAGTGACTGGTGGCTTACACGCCTGCACATGCCCAGCCTCCGCAACAAGTCAGACCTGACATGAGCCTTTCAGCAGGATCAGTCTAACAAGTGATAGATTGTGAGGCAAATGTTTATTGTTTAGACCGATCCTGACAACACACTGCTGTTATGCTACAAGTCGAAACAAAATGGAGATTGGTTATTGGTTATTGGTTGTTGATGATCATTTCCTATTATTGTTTTCTCATTCAGATTTATATTCCCTTCTGTAAATTAAATGTCTGACCTCCTCCTCCTCCTCCTCCTCCTCCTCCTCCTCTTCCTCCTGCAGGATTCCCCTCTGAAGGCCGTCCAGATGCTCTGGGTGAACCTCATCATGGACACTCTGGCGTCTCTTGCTCTGGCCACCGAGCCGCCCACCGAGTCTCTGCTGCTACGTAAACCTTACGGCCGCGACAAGCCGCTCATCTCTAGGACCATGATGAAGAACATCCTGGGCCACGCTGTGTACCAGCTCGTCATCATCTTCACCCTGCTCTTCGCTGGTGAGTTAAACCAACGTTCACAAGGAAAAAAATTGTTTTCTGACCAAAAAAAAATTCGATTTATTTTGCGGATCTTCTCCTGCGTTGTTTCTCAGGTGAGAAGTTTTTTGACATCGACAGTGGCCGCAACACTCCCCTGCACTCGCCGCCATCAGAACACTACACCATCGTGTTCAACGTGTTTGTCATGATGCAGCTCTTCAATGAAATCAATGCCAGGAAGATCCACGGAGAGAGGAACGTGTTCGAGGGCATCTACAGGAACCCCATCTTCTGCAGCGTGGTACTGGGCACCTTCGCCCTGCAGGTAACTCACCATCATCACTATCATCATCATCATCAGAGGAACAAGATATATCATGTTTAGGAGACACAGACAATACCTGTTAGGAGGAACAAGTCATTGCTGGTCAACATCGCCGGACTTTCACTTTAGGACTGCTCCACCAGAGTTCACACAGCTAACACGTCCCGTATCTCTCTCCCTCCTCAGATCGTCATCGTTCAGTTCGGAGGGAAGCCGTTCTCCTGCACGGCTCTGACCATTGACCAGTGGCTGTGGTGTGTGTTCATCGGTGTGGGAGAGCTGCTGTGGGGACAGGTGAGACCAGAGCCAGATCGACAGGTGCCTTTAGTCTCATCAAACAGCATCAGCACTGAGCATGATATGTCAGTGTGAGCTCTGAGAATGAACAAGTACTGAGAGGATGAAGAGGTGGATACATTGAGCTTTGTGGCAGCAAACTGTTGCCTGTCACACTCGCGCTGCTGCAGCGTTGCCATCACGACCATCTCCATGGTAATGAGCTCAGCACATGAAAGCAGCGCGACTCTTGTTTACGAGCGCCGGGCGAAAAACAAACCCAGCGTGTCAGTCCCTCTGTGGATAGACACAAGCACACACCATCGCATGTGAGATGCTGTTAACATGAACACTCTCATACACACGGGAAGAAAAGTTCAATTGTAAGAAGCCTGATGGGTTCAGCTGAAGGGTAGAGACAGAAAGATGCTGACAGAAACAGACTGATCTCAGGTCTGTGAGTTATTTCAGAGGTAAAGTGCCTTTTGTTTCTTCTAGAGAGAGAGAGAGAGAGAGAGAGAGAGAGAGGGAGGAGGGGAAGGGGACAGATGTATAAAAAACTGATGTGCAGCTGTAGCTGGAGGCTGGGTCTGTCTCCCTTCTGCCTTTTTAATTGAATAATGAACAAACAACACGTCAAAAACATTACAACAAAGCAGGTAACACAATATGATAGAAGTTCAGGACACCTTCACATCTGATGTTGATGTGATTAATAGTATGAATGCAAATAGATAAAATACATTCTACGTGGTTTACACACAAAAATAATCAAAATATTTCCACTAGTTCTTGTAAAACTTTAGCAGAGCTTGAAATGTTTGTTAATAGTAAGAATTTTGTAATGAAACAATTATTGACTTTTAGAAATTCAGTAATAAAAATCAATGAACTGTCATCAGTTTTATTAGAAATTAAGTTGTCAAACTTCCACTTTATGTCAGGAAAAACTTTGTTCATGATATTGATCTCTGCTGTTAAAGAGGAATTCCAGAAATGTAATGTAACACAGACAGATTAAAAGAATGACTGAAACAGCAGAGTGCAAGATATTCTGATTTTAAGCTCTGGTATGGCTCAAACGCCCAAAACTCCTACATTTCCCATAATGCAACTAGATACAAACCAGCAAAACCATGAATAGCTTATATCATAAATGTATACAGTGCGGTCCAGAAGTCTGAGACCACTTTCCCATTCACTTACATGCTGTCATTTGTTGTAGCATTAGAAATGTGATTTATCAGTTTTTGAGACAGCCCTCTGAACCCCCCACCCAAATAAAAACCCATTAACAAACGTATTTTATCCATCACACTCAGCTGATCTCGGCCATCCCAACTCACCACCTGAAGTTCCTGAAGGAGGCGGGTCACGGCATCACGAAGGAGGAGATCCACGAGGAGGAGCTGACGGAGGGCGCCGACGAGATCGACCACGCCGAGATGGAGCTGAGGAGAGGCCAGATCCTCTGGTTCAGAGGCCTGAACCGCATCCAGACGCAGGTATGACGGCTTCGGCCTCGCCGTCACACTCCCGTCACACCGCCACGGCTAACTTTATCGCTAACTCTGCTTTTTGTTTTAAGGTTTTTCTGATATCAAGTTTATATATTTAGTGATATCAAGATGGTGTTTATGAAGATTATCACATGACTGTTCTGTCAGAGCTGCAGGAAACATCAGTTACTGTGGTAACACAGAACTCAGGAAGAAAACAGTTTGTTTTGATCAGTTGTTTTGTGAATTATTGTTTAAAAATCTAAAGCTGTTGAGGTGAATTTCTCTTTTGTCGTTTGCAAATCAAAAAGAAAATCCAAATCCAGCTGCTCCTCTTCCTCCTCGCCAAACAGCCACTGAATCAGAGACAAACTGTCCCACCAGAGACGTTGTGTTTCATCAAGACAATCAGAAAACGCTTCATTCACTTCAAACATTTCTGACAGTTTACATGAGCTGCAGTTCATTTTAGTTAAATCAGATTCAAACTAGAGTTAGCAGTAAGAGGAGAGTGGCGCTTATTAGCTCTGGGCTAATTTGGTTTGTGATTTTATGAAACAATTAGTGAAGCGCAGAGACAATGGTCGAGAGAAAAATGAACACACATAATCTTCATACATAGACCTCAGTAGACGGCTGATAAAATGAGTTCCTGTGTCTGAAAACTAGAGGCAGCGGTTGAATGAAAACTTTATATATTTACATTTTAGTTCAGGTGATCAGAGTCGTAGATAAAAGCAGCAGCTGATGGCACAAACTGTCTTCTACATTTTTTGTTGGAAAGGCTTTAAAACACAGAGGAGTGTGCGGAGGTAAAACTGGAAATTTAGCACACACACACACACACACACACACACACACTGTAGCTGTTGTCCACTTAATTTCACACTCTGCTGCTGAGCTCCAGCACAGAACCACTTCATTAAAATACAGAAATTAAAGACGGTAACCAGCGTGGGACTAAACACTTTGCATATCAGATATTTTCATTAGTCACTAACTATGTTTCCATCCAGCTGTTTCTATGCACATTTTCAATCCGTGAGCGTAAACACAGTAAATTCTAAAATGAGTTGAAAGGTTTAAAGAGTTTTTACACTTGGCTGAAGTGGAAAAGTTGGTGTATTGATAAAAGCAAAATGCTTAGGGGTTTAAGACGAACAAAATCATCAGATCTTTGTAGAGCGATGAGGAGTTAATACCTGAAACATATTTCCATCATGTTCTTGACATGGTTTTCCTTCGTTTGAGGTTTGCCTGGCGCTATTTTAATGTCTTCTCGCACCTCGTCTTCTGCAATGGTTAAACGACACCTGGCTGGAGAATTGGCGCCACCAACTGTTTATCTCAATGAACAAAACAATTAGTCAAATAAAATTATATATTAAAATTTGCATTAGATTCAGATGGAAACCTGACGAGTGTCGGTGGTAAACAGCTGCACCAGTGACTCATCTCACAGTCGAGGACTTCCTCCTACCTTCCACCTACAAGATGGATCAACACTCGCTGAGCATTACAATGTCCACAGGCAGTCCTATTCAGTCCCTATGGGCTTCATTAGCCTCTATGCTAACACCCACCTGTAGTAACAGCAGCCAACGCTCTGCTTCCACACATTCACACACACACACACACACACACATACTCAGAGAGGTCAGGTGTCTTCCTCTCAGCTGTGGACTAACTTCTGCTTATTGTGGCTGGAGGGTAAAGACATCTGAATTGATAATGACAAATATCTTCTTCTTTGTTGACTTGAGTTTTTCAGTTTGACCTTCACACTTTTTCTGAAAAGCCTCAAAGACTCAAACTAACAGACATAACATCAGGCTTTTCATGTGTTTTAATATTTAGATGTTTCCTCTCCAGTAAACAACCAGCTGTATCTGTTCTTTCTTTTCATTCCTGCAATAATCACATGAACTTTTCAACAAGTCAAACCGTTCTTGATCTTGGAAACGGTCGTTGAGAAAACCATCTTTAATAGCTGGGTGCAAAATCTAAATCTGAACATCTACAATTCCATGACTACGTGACAAAGTCCATCTGCCGGTTAAGATCATGCGATACGATCGAAAGCTCAAGAAAAGCTACTAAATGTGCGGACAGGTGCGTGATGACAACCTTCACCTGGCCTCCATGAAGCAGCGGAGCGTCGTGACAGAGGGAAGTGAAACAAAGCTCTCGTCCTCTTCAGTCTCTCCACCATCAGACACGCTGTAGAGAAAAGAGGAAGCTCTCTCTTTTCTCTTCATGCCTGTGTATCTGTAATATCAGTCTGTCATCCTCCGGGGATGGGAGGATGAGGGGATGGAGGGGGAGGCAACGAAAGGCTGCAAGCTAATTAGGTTCTTATCTTTCCCTGCTCCTCTTCCTGTCCTCCTCCTCTCTAATCCTGGTGGGCAGCGTTGTGCCGCTCAACGCCTCGACAGTCAAACACAGTGGGGGAATAATTGGTACAAGCAGCAGCACTCACTGCTGAAACTTTATCAGTCATTCCAAGTGACACATTTTCTCCTCTTTCTCCTGTCTGCACTCCTTCTCTCTCAAAGTGCTTTCAGCCTGATTCAAAAGCTCTTTATTCATTGTTGTTTCTTCTTTCATCCCTTCGTTCTATCGGAGCTTCTTCTGGATTTTCACATTTTGTCTTTCGCTAACTAAATGACAGCTTTCTCTCTCTCTTCATGCTTTCTCTCTCAAACTTTGCTCCTCTTCTCCTCACTCCTAAAACCTCTCCTTCATCCTGATCTCTCCATCATCCTCTTCTTCCTTTTGTTTCTGTCTCATGTTCTTCTTCCTCTCTCCGTCCTCTTTGTCAGCTCGATGATATTTTCTCTCTGCTGCAGAACAGATCGCCTGTGTTTATCTCATTGGAAGATGGGATAAAAAAAGATGATATTTTTTCAGTAAATGGGTTAAAATGTGTCGAGAAAACCAGTGCAATAATCCTTTCAAAAGAAATCAGAATCTCTCTGTAATTATTTCATATTTCTTCTCTCTGCCACAAACAAAAGCTAATGAGTGCATTTGCTTTCTCAAGCTGCCAGTCAAAAAGCTGCAGACGAGCCCCTCCTCTGCAAAGAAAGAAATCAGTAGAGCCCATGGAGCTGCATCGCTTCAGGAGACTCCAGCTACAATGTGCACTGAAGGGTTCGATACCAACTTTACAATCGCGCAAAGACACATTTAAGCCTCTGCACCAAAAACGTGCTGAGGTCTGACACCCCGTCAAAGAGAGGACGGTTTCGGTTGAGCTGATCCTCTTCTTAAACGTTCGGTTGACCATTTGTGTTTGGAGAAGCAAAGCTAAAGGCAGCAGTGCCCACACCTACTGTATGTCGTCATCACAGGTGCACATCAACTCCTCAGACACTTGGATGCCACCGCCGTCTTTCCATTAACGCTAGTCAGTAGAACAACACCAGTTTTATCACATTCACTCTCTGGACAGGCTCGTCCCAGCTACTTGCACCCGGACCTCCTCTTCTGTCTGTCCGGTGTTTGTTGCACTGTGGACATGAAACTTGAAACTTAAAACCATAAACACAAACTTTAGCTCGCAGCATCTTTAAAACTTTCTCTAACCTCTCCAGAAGTCTTTCCTACCTCCTTGTTTCCTCCCTCCTGTCCTGTCTCCTTGCTCTGTCTCTGTCTCTGCTGTCTAACGGTGTGTTGTGGCTGTCCTTCCTTCAGATGGATGTGGTCTATACCTTCCAGACGGGCCAGGCGGCGGTGCCAGGTGCCCTGCGCCGCCAGCCGTCCGTCGTCAGCCAGCACAATGACGCCACTGCCGCCAAAACTCTCTCTAGCCCCACCCACGTAGGACTTAGCTCCTCCTCTTCTCTCACCAACTCGGCCGGGGCTCCACCCCCTGCCGCTGCTGCTTCTTCCTCTACTGCAGGCAGTGAGTCGGTGACCGGAGGCCAGCTAACACCACGCTTCACGCGGCTGGACTCTGTCTCTTTTTCTCTGTTTGAGCTGCATGAAACACTGAACGCTGCATGACTCACCCACTAAGTCCATCAGCAGGTGTCTGCACGTCCTCCACTAGTCTGACGAATCTCAAAGATTATCTGAGCTGTTATTATTAATAACTGACTGAGAAAACGTGATAGTAATTTACATGAAGCTGCAACTGATGTGAAGAGTAGTTAGCATGACTCCTGACAGGAACATAGGACAGAAACTAAACTGGATGTGGTTAGCCTAGCTTAGCATGAAGACTGGAGGGAGGGGGAAAATACAGCACATCTACCAACACGACTAAAGCTCACCAGTTAAAAACTAATATTGTATCTTATTTAATCCATACACAGACAGAAATATAAAAACCTATTGTTTTAGGAAATTACTGAGCCTTTTTATAAATGAGGTATTTTGACAGATGTACATCTTCAGTAGAGATGCATGGGACTGGGGCTGTGTGTCGTACATGGGACACGGGAGACAGTTCGAAAAATATAGAATATATTCAGCTTAACCATCTAAAAACTCTGGAGCTTGCAGACAACCTGATCTGTGTTTCCATCTCTTACTCGGTTTCCACGTGCTTCCTGCTTCACCTTCCTCTGCTGCAGCCTTTTCTCCATCTCGATATCTCTCGGTTTTTGATACTTGTCATCAGTCCCCTCTCAGCCTGCTGCCGCTCCTCCTGCATGTTGTGGACGTGCAGCTATGAACCCTGATGCGACTTGCTGCCTGACGAGTCGATGACAGATAACAACTGTTGGCACACATGGCCAATGAGAAGAGAAGGAAGCTGTGAATCCTTCTTATTCGTGACAGAGGAAAAAAAAATCCCTGTCCTATTTTCTTTGTTGTTTTTTTTTCTCTCTCTCACTCTTTTCCTCGGAGGCGACAGCCTGGGCACCAAGATAATTTTATGGGTTAATCCTGAGCAGGGTTAAATCTGTCAGGCTCAGCAAGTCTCTCATGGTTTAACAGCCAAGAGCTTTTTAACTTGTGAGCTGTGTGTGTGTGTGTGTGTGTGTGTGTGTGTGTGTGTGTGTGTGTGTGTGTGTGTGTGTGTGTGTGTGTGTGTGTGTGTGTGAGACTGTGACTGTTGCATGTATGCTCTAAGCTGCAGTGCTCAGCCTGCAGCTCTCCTGTGGTTCAGTAATAGAGAGCTTTGAACTGCAGGGTTATTAATTATAATGAAGAGTGTCTGCTGGTGCGTATAAATCAGTGTGATCAGCTGCAGCCTCTGTGGATTCATCACAGAGGCTGTGACTTTAGGCAGCGAGAAGAGAGCAGCTAGAGGACAAAATGATTCTGGCTCTGAATGTGATTATAAATACTTTACAGTGTGCATGTGTTTGTTGTTTTTCCCAAGTGAGTGTGTGTGTTGTTTACTGGGACAGGAGATTGTTTAGAGGTTCGGTACCCAGACCTAGTGTTTGCTGTGTGTCCATTGCATTGTGGGGACTCGTGTTCCCTCTGATCAGTCAGACTATGATATGAAATACAGGTCCTTTCTTTCACTTTAACTTCACTTTCTACAAAATGCTGTTTTTATTTGACAAAAAAGTTACATTTTAAATCGGACTCAGCAGTTTTTGGTTCTCTTGTTGGTTTTTGATATTAATTTCTTTTGGTGCCAATGTTCATTGCGTTATGGGCTCACAAACCTGATTGCACATGAGGACTTGTGTCTCCTCTTAGGACAGCGCCGTCCATCCCTGCAACCCTGTGGACCTCCCGAGGTAGATCTAGGTCTAGATCTAGGCATGTCAGTTGTTTGTTATATTTATACACATTTATTTACACATCGAAATATCATTAATTGCCGATTTGTTGGTGAATCAACAAAGACAGGTCCAGCATTATTTGATAATCTTGTGGCCCTGTCATGTAGAGGGTCTCCACTATAATAACGTATGTGAAAGTGTTTAACCCGCAATTAATACATTAAGGCAAAGACTTATTATTTTTCAAAGAAAAAAAGAAAACACCCCGTCCACATGCTTGAGAGTACTCTGGGTCTGGGTGTGTTTTTCCTGGGTTCTCAGTCCCAATCAAGGGAAATCTTTATACTATCATTTCTTAGACAATAGTGTGTTTACAGCTTTGTGGAAACAGTTTGGGGAAAGCCCTTTCCTGTTTCAACATAACAATGTCCCTGAGCGCAAAGCCAGATCCATTAAGAAATAGTTTTTCACAGTTTGTTGTGTAAGAATTTAACTGGCCTGCGCAGAGCCCTGACCTCAGCGCCACCCAACACATTCAGGATGAGTTGGAACGGCGACTGTGAGCCAGAACTTATCACCCAGCATCAGTGTTGGACCTCACTGATGCTCTTGTGGCTGAGTGCGGAGCAAATCCCTGCAGCCGGGTTCAGAGATGTGGCGGAAAGCCTGGAGTCAGAAGAGTGAGAGTTGTTGTAGCAGCTGCAGCCCATCACATGTTGGAGTCACATGTTACACCATCAAAATACGGACGTAATGTTCAGGCATTGGCATATTGTCGGACTCAGTGTGTCAGTGTGGAATTTAAATATTAAAATTTGGGATTATAAATATAAAATGGGATTGTAAAAGTCAGTCAGTGTACAGGATGTAACCCCGACCACAGATAGAAAAAAAAGTGTGTGTGTGTGCGCGTGTGTGAAAAGTGTATGTGTGTGTATTGTAGCGGTTGTGTTTCGACGCCACTCCACATTCAGCCGCCTCTTTGTGGATCTTTTGTTGCAGCTGCCTCCAACATCACGTCAACCTTTTTTTTTTTTTTTGACCTTTTGTGTTGATGTGTTGTGAATATCTTTCAGTTTTCCCACCATGTTCACATCCAGCCAGCCTCTGTTTCACTTGTCCACATTGTGTTTCGTGGTTTTGCACCTCCCTGCCCAGATGCAGACACACCAGCCACCGCGTGTCCCATCAGTCCCTGCTGCCTGTTTGACATCACGCCTTGTGTCTGCTCCCCTGCTCGTCGTCTGACTTGCCTTTTCTTGTTCTGTTTCAGATTAAGGTGGTCAACGCGTTCCGTAGCTCCCTGTACGAGGGGCTGGAGAGCCCAGAGTCCCGTAGCTCCATCCACAGCTTCATGGCCCATCCCGAGTTCGTCCCCCTGTCCGAGGAGGAGGCTCGCATCCCCCCCATCGAGGAGACCGGAGATGAGATCGACCCCCTCCCCAGTGCCTCCTCTGGGGCGAGGGGAGGAGGAGAGCCACCCAGCGTCTTCCCCCACAGCCGCGAGTCATCCATCTGAGCTCCTCCTCCTCCCTCCTCCTCCTCCTCATTCCTCCTCATCAACATCCTATGTGTCATTCCACCAACTGAACTGTCGCACTGAGGGGGGAAGTCATCACTCTGCTCATCCCCTCATTCTGCACGCACACATGCTTCACATCGTCTTGCCCCCCCCCCCCTCTCAATTATTCCTGCCACGTTGTGTTTTTCATACTGACTGTGGCGTTGTTCTGCCTGTAAGTTTGGAAGGCCTGTTCTTTTGTCCATCCGTGTATATTTTTTACTTGATAATCCTTTTGAAAAGCTTTTAAACCATTTTGGGTTCGATCCTTGTGGGACTCGCAGCAGCATGTCTTTGTTCTGTACTTGCTTCATTCCTGCATAACGTTCTCAAAAACAGCACCGAACTTTTCAAAGAGTGCAGTGATTCTCATGTACATACGCTTCCGCTCTTCTACACAGCTAACAGCCGGGTTTGGTGATCAGAAGAATTTTAGGCAAATGCAAAAATGTAACCTTTTTTTTGTTTGTTTTCTTTTCTTTTTTTTTTTTTTTTTTTTTTAGATGTTTAGCAATTATGTTTTTAAAACCTCTAACGAATGTTAATTGATAGTTGATTCAAACTCCTGAGAATGTCTTGTGAGTGTGACACTACAGTCTTCAAGGTTCAACTGTTAAAAAAAAAATGTTCTTCCCTTTATCGTGTCTGTATGTGTTGGTTTTTCTTTTTAGCTGCTGTGTTGCATGTGGAAAGACAGAATGTTTACTACTCAAAAATATCGAACATAGCGGCGTCCAGAGAGGGCTCGCTTTCTGCTCAGTGGGAGTCTGACCTCATCTCATGCAGCGGTTCTCTCAGACCCTCCCCCGGTACATCCACAGTGTCGATAGGAAACAGGAGTGTGGCTCGTACTCGCCCTCTAGTAGGATGCATGTTATGTTTCATTCGTGTTGAGTCGCATGAAAACTTAGGAATGAATATTTGGGATTCTGTTTAGACAACCATCTGTGTGTGTTGGTGTGCAGCAGCGCCTGCTCGGAGCTCCGTGAACTTCCTGTGTGTAGGACTGAACATCATGTTACCGCAACAGGACTGAGACAGACTCATCAATACTCAGCAAACACAGAGGAAACTGTAGCAGGGCTGTTTTACTTGACAGCAGAGCAGTCGGTGTCTGCGTACATGGACTTGTTCCGCACACTTGTAGGCAAGTGCAGTCTGCGTACAGTCCATGTGCTCCTAGATTTTGCAGATCATGACTAAGGGATTCACCCATAAATACCCATGCAGGTCTGTGAGGTCCTAGAGCCCCTCCCTGCTCAGACCGGCCCCCTCCTCACTGGGCGACTGTGCGCTGAATTAGGTTAACAGATACACTGACAGAAACTGATCTAAAATACTGAGGGACGAAGATTGTCATTCATTCTCCATCACAGTCTCAAACACTCATTTTCTCACGTTCTTATCTCCTCCCTCTTTCTCTCTTCGTCCCTCCTGACAGGCTCTTGTTAGAAAAGACCCACCCTGTTGAAGTGTGGCAACTAATCAGAATTGACACATTCCAACCTTCGACCATGACATTGTGATTTTTGTGACATTGGGACCACGCTAACCACTGCCCCCGCCATGCGCCACCACTCGTCTAGGACAGGGTTGCAGGGGCACCAAGCAAGGTAGCCCCAACCCAGCTCGTCTTCTCCCCAGTAATGTCCTTCCCGTCCAGAAGTGTCTCCAGACCAGGTGGAATGTATAATCCCTGCAGTGTCTTCTAACAGCAGCCGGGCGCGTCCTCCCAGATGTGTGTGCGCAGAACACGTCCACAAGGGGGCGCCCTGATGGGGCGGTAAACCACATCAGCGCAAAGGAGCAGCAGGTCTCCTCCGAGCTCTTCCTGCAGGTCTGAGCTCCTCACCCTGCCTGCGAGGCTGAGCCCAGACGCTCTGCAGAGGAAAACTCATTTCAGCTTCCTGTATCCGCAATCTCAGAGACTGTAGGTGAGGTTACAGGTCAGTTCTGTACAGTGTCCTCATTACTGCAGAAACTCAAGCTTACCCCTGCTGTTGAATTTCAATGAGTTGGATTGATGTCAAAGCCTAACAGGAGCTTTTCTTATGTTATTATCCTCGAGATTCTCGACTTCTCCGCACATCTCTGTACATTCTCGGGATTAGCACACAAGTTTTCACTAAAGTTTGCAAGTTTGTTTCGCCTAGATCAAGTTCACATCTCACAAGTCCCCACCCACCTCTCAAATTTGATCCATGTTGAGTCTGAATGTGCATCAACACAGGAAGGACCATAGTATCGATGAGTCTATTTTGTGCCAGTGCAGGTTGTTCAGTTTAACAGACAGGAAGTGAATGTCTCTCTGAACGGGATCTGGACTGTCAGTCTGTGTTGAAGACAAATCTTAGTACCACTTCTGATTTCTGTTTCCCTTGTTTGTCAGATTTTATGAGCAGAGAATAAATCAGCTGTCAGTGACATCCCGCAGCCAGCAGCAGAGGAGGTGTTCGGTCATCATCATCCCTCTCTTGCTCTGCTGTGTTTGATTAACAGACGTCAGTGTGTGGCGGCCACGCTGAGGTTTTACGTAGAGATAAATCCACTGTGTGTCCCTGCTGCCGCTCAGCACTTCCTGCCTGCCGTTGTCCGCAGATTACTGTCTTAAAAGAAGAAGGAATCATCCTCCAATCAGAAGCAGCGATGTGTCTAATCCCCTCTCTTAGTCTGACTAGCAGCCATCAACCGATCTATGAACTAGGACACGTTATTGAAGTAATGTGCTACTACTGCCATATTTCCAACTTTTTGTCATGACTAGGTTCTTCCTCTCCCCTCTGATGAGCTTTTTCTATGTAACTCAGAGCCATATTTTATAGGTTGTCTGTATTGTTTTTTATCTCATTGTTATTGAGGTTTCCTTTGGACTTTCTCACCCTTGAAACCGCCCCATCCCACCACCCCCCACCCACCCCAACCGCCTCCCCTCCTCCCCTCCCCTGGCCCTTTACTCCAAACATGACCAAAAAGCAAGGAGAAAATCTTCAGTCGTCACTGCCGAACCAAGTTTAAAGGACCTCTACAATGTTTACATGAAAAGCGAGTGGGTGGCAGTTCGCCTGCGCTTCTCTCATCCGACCACTTCCCTTTCATTCCCTTGCTTTCCTGAATCTTAGAGTTACTATTTAACTAAATGGGGAATCTTTCTTGCATGGTTTTCATATAAAATTCAATGTTTTGCTCATTTTTTTACAATTCTTCTGTATTTTTATATTAAGTACTTTTTAATATTTTGGAGATATATGAATATATATGTATAGGCTGAAGAGTTTGGTGACAGTACAGTACATGAATGAGATGAATCTACCGTGGACTCTGTCTTTTTACAGCTCTAAATATTTATGCCACGTGTGTCGTCTTGGTCACCTGATGTTAGGGCTCAGAAACCTGCAGTGACTTGTTTACTTCCTGTTGGCCGTTCAATTGGAATCTCAACAATCTAGTCTCATCAGCCCCCTTTTACATGAGTATATCTACTTTATCTAAGATGTTGTGACACACTACACGCTATGTGATTTTCGCAGTTATCCAACTCCATTAGAGTTAAGCAAATGCAACGTGAATACAGCTAACTGTATCAAACATTAAATGGGAGTGTATAATTATTTATCCAACCTCTGGGTTTCTTTGTTTCTGTACTTTTAAGCTACTACAACTGATTTCTTTGAATGAGTGGGTTGATGCTGTTTACCAACTGGCTGTTGTTGGAGCTGACGACTTTAAAGAGGATCAAAGCTGTGTCCCACTTCAGGCTCCGCCTCCTGCACGTGGCCGTGTCCTATGAAGACGTGTCCTCACCTCAGACAGATCAAAACTGAGAAAGTAACCTGCAGACCAGAGCAGAGCCGGCCCAAATCATTAGATAAACCGATGAGTTGTTTTGCTCCGCCCCTCCCAGCTTAGAGGTTTTTGTAATGGACCCATTAAAAAAAAACCTGCCTGGCCCCAATGTGTGTAAATCAAGTTTTTTTTGTTTGTTTTTTTACACAGACCTGGGTGTTGTCTTTATTTATACTTGATGCAGCATCCTGTGCAAAGAGTGGTGTCATTGCACCTTTTGCTTTGTCTACAAATGATCGGGGTGCGTAGTGATGCGGCTCCCAGCTTGAGACTAGGTTCATTTCAAAATGGATGTGCTAAAAGTTAAACCGCCACCGGTACGCACTTGTTTAATTTTTACTCCTTCACTGTAAAAATACTGTGATGGAGAACAAAATGAGCATAAAAGCCTCGTCGTGCGTCCTGCAGAGGCCTTCACCACGTGTCCTGCTCCGGTATAAACAGCAGCTTAAGGATAAAATGATCTTAATACCATTGAACGTCTGTGGGCTCAGACTCAAAGACAGTTAGACCCTGTTAGTCCAAACAGGCCCCCACCCAGCGTGATTGGACTGAATGTAATTTGTGCCTGACTGGGTCCCAGGTCAGATCTTGGTTGTTAGTAGCCAAGACGTTCCTGGAGGGTGAGGTGGGGGTCGGGGGGGGAGGTCTAATCTTGACTAGCGCTCAAAAAATGCTTAGGGCCGGCCCTGGACCACAGGTTGTGTCGTGTGATTCGGGCCAAAGACAGACGCCACAGTTCTCAGCCTCATTCCTGATTTTTACTTTGGTTATGAAATTTGGACCATTAAGGAGGCGGGGCCTGTGATGGGACACAGCTGCAGCTGTAGATGTCATCACCATTTTATACGACTGACGGCTTCAGAAACATTTCATCCCCCGACGAGAGCAGGACTGGCAAAGTGCCAGTGACATCACTTCCTCTTCCTGCCGTGTGTCCTTTAGCTGTAAACGAGACACACCTTCCCAACGATGACAGCGTTTCCTCTTTGTTTTGTTTCTACTGCTGAACCTGACAGGACACCTGTGCTCCTGCAGTCAGTACAATGTAAATATTGTCATATAAGTGAATGAAGTGTACCTGCTTTCTGTGTCGCTGACAGGAAATGGGAGAGGGGGCAATCAGCCAATCATCACCCAGCAAAGCTTTAAGAGTGTTCTGCCAAAGCTGTTTTCTCTTTTCTTTACTTCTTCTGCACAAGTGTGTTTAGTTTGCAGTCACATGACCCCTCCCCCCCCCACACACACCCTCAACCCCCAACCCCCGAACCCCCACCCCCCCCACCCCCCCCCCCACCTGGATGAGATTGCCCTCTGCCTCAGTGTGCTGTGGTGGTCGTCTGTTGGACTGGTTGCCCTCACGTCTCACACCAGGTGCACGGTACAGTCCCGCCATCAGAGACGCTCCAGACCTGTTTGTGCTTCTGGTTTCAGCCACGTCACAAATTTAAAAAAAAAAAACAGTCGAGGACGAGACTCAGCAATCGGACTGAAAATCTCCACCTGGTTTTTAGTTTTTCTGAAGGCTCATATTTTTTTGGAGAATCTCAGATCTCAGTTTGCCACAGTTTTCCTTTAGGACTTCAGTGTGGAGAAGGAACTCGCTTCTTATCCAGCCATTGTTGCATTTTGACTGCGTTGCTTCCTCTTCAGAGCGCTGCCTTTCTCAGAACAGCTTCCTGTAGTTGGATATTAAAGGAAATCTTTGGAGAACCTTCACATCCACTTAAAAATTCACAAATAAAAAAAATGGTTCAAACGAACTGGAATATTACAGATGGAAAAGTCATAACCACTCAACATATATATCTATATATTTATATAATGTATCTATGCATTTATATCAAGTATATGTGTGTATATATATATATATATATATATATATATATTTATATATACATGTATATTAGGTATAAATACGTAGATATATATATATATATGGTTTCTCAGTTGAACTTCATTGCAAAAAAGACTGAAAAAGATTTGTTTTCTGTAATTACTATGATACACAGTAATAGGCGTTGGTGTTATTTTTGTATAAACATAATATCATCTATGTGGCATGCATGACATATATACAAAATTGGTGGTTTAAAGCAATATGTCCAACCTGGTGCGATTGGTTCTGTCGTGTTCTGTGTAGCCTAAAGCCACTTGAAAAGAGATATATATATAAAAAAAGAGTAACTGCATTTGGATAAAACTAACTGTTCAGTATATGTGTTCAATGTTCTGTGTTCTGCATGTTTTAGTATGGAATGAAACATCCCAAATGTTGACGTGTTTTCCAAATGAAATCTCAAACACTCGCCCCAGACACATCACAACACAACACACAGACAGACACGTGTATTTGCACTGTGAGGTGAAACACACTGAGGAAATTAAAACTGTGTGACGTCAGACGGATGGATTTAATGAAAGATGAAGATTCTTCTTTTTGTTTCCATCATCTCACTTATCCGCAAACTAAACAGTTTACAGATCTGTCTGCTCATCCACCTCCCCACTGTGTCATCCTCATGTCCATCCACCACACACACACACACACACACACACACACATACACACATATATGCACAAACACTCAGATTTATAGACTCTCCTGAACTCATCACCCACTCATCTGTGCAGTGAGAGGAGGAGGGAGAGATGACAGTTAACAGGCCTGAAACATTCAGCATGTGGTTCAGGTAGGCTTCTGCTCTGCAGGTGTCATCATCTTATCACATCCATTGATCCACTATCCTCCTGCTTCCCTCCACCGGCGGGGTCTGTGGGGGGGGGGGGCCGGGGGGGGGGGGGTTGGGGGTGATGGAGTTGTTGCTCAACCTGTTAAACGTCTGTGTCCATGTTCGAGCCCGACCGATATATCAGCCGATTTTATCTTTCTCAAGTTTATTTTTCAACCGTAAAATGTTGCAACTAAGGATTATTCTTAATATCAATTAATCTGCTGTTTATTCTATTTCATGTTTTTGATTGATCAATATATTGTTTTATCCATAAAATATCAGAAAATAGTGGAAAATGCTTGTTATAATTTCCCAGCACCCAAGCTGACGTGTTCAGATTTAGAGATCAGAGGATGTCACATTGATTAACTGTTAAAATAGTTGCAGATTAATTGATCAACAGTAAACTAAATTACTATTTTGACCAATTATTTTACCAGTGGTTAAATGTGCCGCTCCTCGCTGGTCAAAGCTCCAGACTCATGGGATCTCTATCGTGTTCACGTTTGTGTTTTACATCGGTATCAGTCGGGCTCGAGTTCACGTCAGTGTCAGTCTGATGGTTGAGACCAGTCTTCTTGTTTGTTGTGATGACCTCTGCTCCCAGTCTTTGTGCTAAACTGGAGACGACAGAAAACAAGAGGATTTCATAAAGCGTCAGACTGTCCGTTTAAATCCACGTTAACAAGAAAGAAAGATATATTTATAAATATTTTACACACCTGCTCAGACATTTATTTTTATCAGGTTGTAGAAACGACAAAATGTTGACAGCATTAAAGGTGGATGTTGCTCTTTGTGCTCACGTTAAAGTGCACAGAGCAAGTTGAGATGAACAGTTTGGCGAATCAGCCTGGATTCAAGAAATATTTTACAAATTGGTTTCTTGTTGATTATTTACTGTATATATTTTCTGTCTAAATGCTGTTTCAAAGCCTTCTCCACGTTGCCACCAACACATCTCTTGCGAGGACATCCTAAATGAATTATTTTTGTAGTCAGATTTACATACTGTAGTCTATATGAGTCTAAAAGTACCAGCACTGTGCTACGCTCATGTCATATCAGAATTACCATAATTACTAGTTTCCTAGTTCACGTAAACATCCGAGTCGAAATGACTCTGATAAACATCACTTGGCGCAAAATTTCATGGGAAAATAAACAAAGATGAGGAAGCTTCATTTTATCCAAACTCCTTTGTTCAAGGTGATTAAACCTAAATTTAATGGACATAGTGTTTTAATGCTGTGTTGTTAATGTACAAGAATATTTTTAATTGCTACCATCCGTCCCAAATGACATGAATGCAGCATTGGTCT